TTTACTTATTTACAAATCGACCCCAAAAAAATTATGTAAATTATGAAATTACCCGAACGTGTCCGAAAGTGTCTATAACGTGTCTGGAACGTGTCCGATGTAAAAAATTAAAAAAAAAAAGGGGACACTCTCTGCTGCGTGTCGAACACGTGTCAACCGCATGTCCACACGTGTCCGTGTCCGACACGTGTCCGACACTGGTACGGAGCCTTCGGAGAGGTGTCCGTGCTTCATAGATCTCAGCTCATCAGGACTCTTAAAAGAAACTATCCGTCTGGATTTGCAAAAAAGAAAACAAGCAAATGGTCGAAAAATTAGTCGAGTGTCAAAGATGAGCTATTGATAAGTTCTTGTGATTTGGACACAAATTTTTTGTCCTTTACCTTCAAAAAAAAAAAAAATCGTTCAATGAAAAAATATATATGTGAAGGCCCCAAATGATCTAGTGATATTTATTAGTTGATTATCAGCTTTGGGCCCCAAAAATCTCAGGGCCGGGCCTGCATGTAACATACATAATGAACAAAAATAATGTAGCACATAAAATTGGCAATACATAAATATTCACTTGCATATGCAAATATCAAATTAATTTCATCTCTGAAAAATATTTCCACAAGGGCACTTCGCAGAGTAAAAGATATCATGCACTCATGCACGGTCATAATCAGAAAGGGGCAAATCTCCTACAGAATAAAATGTGGTTCCACAATAACCTAATTGCAATGTCCATATGCAAAATTTTGAGTGCATGCATATGATGAACCCAAATCGTAACATGAAAAGAACATTTCCACAATTCATCTAACCCCTCCTAAAAATAGACGCCATTATAATGTAGTCCATTCCCAATTCATACTCCTGATCTTTCTTATTTTCAAAAACCAAAAATGAAATTTCCAGATGTGTGCATCCTACATCAAGAATTCTTAGGAGAGCAAGATGAATGAAAATCAACTGACCTTCACCACAGAAGGATCGATGTCAAAAGCCACGTACGGCCATCCCACAGCATCACCATCCATTCCAGAAGCCAGTGGTGCTGACAGGAAATTGGCAAGACCTGTATGACAGACAAAACACACTGATAGGAAACTTCATTATGCAGGAAATTGGCAGTTCTTTATATAAGAATTGCTCTACCTGACCCATTTGCCCAAATCCAAGGATAACTACTGGTTCGCTAGCATCAAAGTTCACTGTGTCAGCAATTTTCTGTGACAATATCAATTTCCAATTTAAGCAAACTTAAAGCAGTTAAAGAGCCAGCTTAATAGATATCTATTCAAAATATATGCAGTTTAGAAGCAATGCTCAACTAACTCGTCAGTTTCTGATTTAATAATCTTACTCATCTTTTGGTCAACTATCTATTTCCACACATTCCATGTGTTGCTTTACTAAAAGTCAACATAAAAGTGCAGCCTTTTTTTATAATTAATTTAATGAAGTTCCTGGCATTCCTGGGCTTTGAATCTTCCACTATTAACTTAATTCAACCACTAACTCACGTCAAGAAGCCTTGGATGTTAAAAACTTGATGAAATTTATCCAAACACATTAGTGGGTGACTATGGTTATCCATTTCTCTCATTTGCTTATTAAGAATTGAGACTGACAATCAATAGTACAAAGTTAGCAACTTACATCCCCTTCAAAATTTTCACCAATAAAATCAGAAGCCTTTCTCCCAACTTCATTAAGTAGGGGTGTCAGTGCCATCGACAGCACAACAACAATTATGAGCAGTTTGTTCAACTCAAGTGGTAGCACTCCAAGCCTACAAGGCATAAAATTCTATAAGAAAAAATAAAACTAGAATCATTAGGTAGAAACTGCAGTAATTTAAAATCGAACTTACCCATTTGCTAGAGAAAAAACTACAAATCCAAACTCCCCCCCTTGGGACAGAAGCAATCCTATTCTTACACTCTCTTGTATAGTTAGTCCAACTCGGGGACCAATTGCTGTTATAATTAATGTCTTGATAACGATTAAACCGCCCAAGAGTGAAAGCACATTTGGCCATTCTCGGAAAAGAAGCTGCAAAGGGGGCAGAAAAAGTACGAATGTCTCATAAAAGTTTCTCTACATCATAAAGTGCCTTATTTTCACAAATACAAGTTAATTGAAGAAAAAAAAAATTGTATTTTTTATGATTCAAAGCATGTAAAGGACTGCTACATTTCATTGGTGATTGCCAACACCCTCCAAACACTTGCTTTTTTCATCTCCGAAACCCCAAGCCTTCTTCCTAACTTTTGTCCTTTAATTGAAACCCAAACTGCCAAGTACTTACTGTCTAGATATCAAGCACATCTTTTTCTGCAAAGTCAGCAATCACTCAGTTCGAAAAGCAGGTCAATTCCAACATTTTCAATTCCTGAAACCTATATAACCTTCTTTTTTTTGTTTTCTGTTTTATAGATTATTAACCCTAAACCTGTAAGCTTTCCATAACCAAAACCCATTGCAAACTGAATAGCAGGGACCATTATTTTGTGAATCCTATTGCTGTCCTTCATACACCATACAAAATTAAATATGTTCTTCCAAGCAATTTTACTTGTCTTTCAGCTAAAATTTATATCAAGCGTCAAAAACACTATGCAACTGCATTGTGTAATAATCAGTTTCTCCATGTACCAATCTGCTTGCCTTACATGTAACCAAGGGATAAATATGAACAGTACACCATAATTGAAGGGCAAAGTACGAGATTAAGGAATGGAACTACCTGCGTGTCAATAGAAGTACCAGTAGTAACAAAAAATAACCCAAGAAACAAGCCTCTAAATGGCCTTATATCGGCTTCAATCTGTGTTCGGAAATTTGTTTCTGCTAGTAATGCCCCAGCCAAAAATGCTCCAAGCTGAACAGTGAACCCAAAATTCAATAATTACATAAACTGAACTGATAAACTTGAACATCATCAATATTAACCATACTCCATTTGAGAAAGATTTATCAAACCGTGTCACTGAAACCCAACTTCTGGGTTAGAAGTGAAGTCCCAGCAACTGTCAGTAGGCATAAAGCAACAAAAGCTTCTGAGCTCCTTGCTTCTGCAACAACCTGGGATTCCATATATTTGATTTAGGGTTGGTTTGGCATAAACTAAATAATACAAAAAGTCAAAAAGTCACTATCCTATTTAAGTCACATCATCTTATTTAAATCACATCACCTCTCTAACACATCACATCAAACCCAACCCAAACCCAACCCATATAAGCTAATAAGTCAAAAAGTGCACTTTTTTAGAACATCCCAAACTATGCACCTCACTTAATAACACGAGTTTGGTGATTTTCTCATTTATATAACTTGATGCACACCTCAAAGATTCGCCTAAGAAGGTATTTTCCTCCGAGAGAAAGCAGGCCTAGTCCACCTAAAGCCTTCAAACTTTCTTGAGCAAGCATCGGCCAAATACTCTCCTCCCCCAAATTCTGCAGAGAATGACAAGCCAAAAAGAAAACAAAGAAAGGAACAATAAGAAAAACTTGATCTGTAAGACAAGAAGCACCGAGAAACTAAATTATTGTCACATTGATTTCAAAGTAGAGTTCAACTGACTTCATGACAGAAATCTAAACTTCGAATTTTTTGGTGATATAACCTCTCAGGTAATTAGAACTTTGAAGGAAAAGATTTGCGGTGAAACCAGTGGACCTGTATGGAAGAGAATCTATTTGAATTTAAGATTATTACGTGATTGCAGAGTAACTGATTTAGTTGAATAAATTTGCACTTTCCTCACTAATAGGAAACCCGTTGCTTCTTGAACCTGACTGTCATAATTGAAATATCTTAAATCTCCAATGCTACTTATCAAAAATAAATAAATCAATTGTCAAATCTTTCTTAAGATTCTGATTCCAAAATAGTCTCTCTAGAACCACCATGTCTAGCCATTTTAAGGCCATCAAGAAACACCCAATAATTTAGTCAGAAGTTTAGTTCCCATACGCATATTACTTCAATGTCCTGAAAATCAACCAACTACACCATCATATTAATCCTTAATTAGCATATTAGTTCCTATAACCATGTTACCGTAGACCATGAAAAACTGCCTAAAATGTAGCCTCCATATAGGTTTGCTGATCTTCCATATTTCTTATTAAACTTGACCTTAATCAAATGTAAAACATATGACTTTCCATCATGCATTAGAAAGTTTTCTTGTAGATATTTTATAAAAGGGCTAAAGCATACTAAAAATGGAAAATTCTTCTGCTTTATGCAATATATCGCATACTTCCTTCTTTTCTTGTTTTAACAAAAAGTCATAATATTAATAAGAAAAAAGCAAAGAAGTACAAGAAGAGGACAAGGAATCCGCCCAAAAAGAAAAAAGAATATACAAGACTTCCTTGTCAACAAAAAAAAAAAGAAAGGATACTTTAGGAAGTTCTTTTGTCAATAGGAGTTCAGGGAAAATTTATTATCTTGTAATACTATCAGTAACATGAAAAAACAAAGAATAATCTGCCACTAACCACAGAAAGCAAAGCTCTAGCATCCCTAAATATAATCATGGGAGGAAAAATAAAATTTGACTCGTCTCTCCTAAAACAAACTAACTTTAGTTTGTCAAATATACTGAAACAAATCCCATTTTGACATACCTGGCTCTCCAGCACTGGAAGTATGACTAAGAGAGGAACAACCGCTATGTCCTGCAAATATCAAGCAGCAGGGATCCAAATTGGTTATTGACCTGATAATTTTGATGCACTTTGCATGACCCGCTCTAACCAATTCAGAGAGAAAAATGAAAAGGAAAAATAACAGCATCACCAATGACATTGAAAAGATTAAGACGATATTTTAAAGTAAACAAAACCAAATAGAACCTGTAGTAGAAGTATCCCCAATGTTGCTGAGCCAAATCTAGTTGGAAGCTCACCCTTTTCTGCAAGAAGCTACATGGAACACGAGGTAAGTATAAAATGGTTATATACAATATTTATAGCAATAAATTAGTTTACCACTTTTACATGAATGAAAAACAGGTAGCACTAAATTAGTTTACCACTTTTACATGAATGAAAAACAGACGCTACACGTAAATTTAAACACTGAAAGCAGAATTTATCTTTCCTTTCCACTTTAATTGGTAATAGGAAATCCCACTACACAAGTATCTAGTTACTGCTTGCCAATCAGCCAGATAGTCCTCAGGTAGCAATAAATTAGTTTACCACTTTTACATGAATGAAAAACAGGTAGCACTAAATTAGTTTACCACTTTTACATGAATGAAAAACAGGTAGCACTAAATTAGTTTACCACTTTTACATGAATGAAAAACAGGTAGCACTAAATTAGTTTACCACTTTTACATGAATGAAAAACAGGTAGCACTAAATTAGTTTACCACTTTTACATGAATGAAAAACAGGTAGCACTAAATTAGTTTACCACTTTTACATGAATGAAAAACAGACGCTACACGTAAATTTAAACATTGAAAGCAGAATTTATCTTTCCTTTCCACTTTAATTGGTAATAGGAAATCCCACTACACAAGTATCTAGTTACTGCTTGCCAATCAGCCAGATGGTCCTTGTCACTGCTCTGTCAGTCAATTCTGCAAACCCATGAGAACAGGAACATAGAGGGGACGCTTTACGTGGGTCTCGGGATTCACACGGATACCCGATTATCAAAAACTCAATATGTCCAGCTTAGGTCACAGTAATTAATGTCTTCCCTGGAAACTACAATGTGTTGTCACCGCTCCATTGGTCAATTCTGTGAACCCATGAAAATGGCAACTGCCTCAAGGGTACAACAGCATTATGGCAACATGAGCTAGCTAGTTATATTCTTTTGATCCGTTATCCCACCTTGACTATTGTTAAAATCCACCTACTCTCCACCTACTTCACCCACTTAAACCTACTCCACTAAACCTAACCCACTACACCACTACCACCTCCACTTCACCTACTCCTTACCTACTACACACTCACCCTCTTCTATATATAGGAATCATGAATCATTGTAATAAATATAACATTATATCAATCAATAATACATACAATTTATTCTCTCTCTATTTCTCTTTATACATTAAATTTTACAGAGGGGACGCTTTACGTGGGTCTCGGGATTCACACGGATACCCGATTATCAAAAACTCAATATGTCCAGCTTAGGTCACGGTAATTAATGTCTTCCCTGGAAACTACAATGTGTTGTCACCGCTCCATTGGTCAATTCTGTGAACCCATGAAAATGGCAACTGCCTCAAGGGTACAACAGCATTATGGCAACATGAGCTAGCTAGTTATATTCTTTTGATCTGTTATCCCACCTTGACTATTAAGTGTAAGCTACCAATTATGCATTGACATTAGGATAAATTAGAAGTTTAATGATTGCAGATGCCATACTGAAAATTCACAAGGCCAATGCTGGCATACTGTAATGTAACAAACTAAAGTAATCTAAAAGGTCACCTTCAGATATCTAGTACAAAAAAAAATTACCTGCAGAACAAAAGCTGACGAAGACAATGAGAGAGCAGCACCGATCACTATTGCCTCATCAACACTTCTGATGTTCACCTACAGTCCTTCCAAACCAGTAACTAGTGAAAGAGAATAATAAAACGGTGTTACAAAAAACACGAGCAAGATGGTGTTCATAGGGGTAACAGCAGGGTCAGAAACACCCACTAGCCATGTCATGGCTTCAGATATTCTCTCAGCAAACTTTGTTAATTCATGAAAGTTCACAAGACATACGGAGTTTTACAGATAAAAACATCAAATATGTTCATGAAATATCACAGCTCAAGCATGGGTCACAGCATGGTAAATACAATTTCTAACAGTTTGAGTCTCAACAAAAAAGTTTGAGGACAATTTGAAATGTAGATGAATATAAGGAAAAAATGATCCAGCACCATGTAACTCGCATACTAATGCTCAAATTATCAAAATTTAAAACATGAAACCGTTATTCAGTGAACAGATCAATCATGCAAATTATATATTTCTTTTCACTTGTGGTTCTACATTTAAGATTTCACTTATTCCAGTGAGCATCAATTCTCCCAAAATCCAAACACAAGATAATTCTCTCTGTAATCCCAAACCTATTCCACGTTTGAACATTTAAAGATAGTATTTTGCAGTACATAATTTGAAAGGTAAAGAGAAGATCACTTCAATTGCTTCTGGGATTAGAAAAAATCAGGTGTGATTTTCTGTGCCCAATAGTGCAGTCATCTTCTTCAAGCAAAAGAAAACATGAATCCAAGTGTGATACTTGAGGTGGTACTGCTACCTCAAATGTAATCAATCTGAAACTTTTGGATATTATGAAACAAGGACACCAGCGAAGGGAGTTGTCTCATATAGACACAACATATTGGGTACTCTGACCTCCATAAAAATAAAATCCTAAGGAAACACATGGGTTCAAGTCCAAGTTCCAGAAAATGCAAGGCATTTACTACAAGGACAAAAAATAATAATAATAATAAAGGGGAAGGCAAAAAGGATGACTATCACCCAATAGGAATTCATCAAGGGACCTATGTTCTTTTTTACCTCCTGAAAAGGGACCTCATGGAGGAATACAAAAGAATTATAGGTTGGGTTACTGGAAAGGGGTCTTGTGATGGTTTTCGAATTTCAATCTATAAAATCAATGGAGTGCTTCTTCCCTGAGCTACCCCTAATCTCTTTTTCTTCTCAGGTTGCTGCTTTCTTCTCTGTTTCTCTTCTCAGTTGTTTCTTTCTTCTCTATTCTACATTAGCATCCTACTTGATCTCTTTCTATTACAGAGCATAAAAACATGAAAAATTGAATCGATGTTAACTTGTGGCATAAACTAGAAGGAATACCTATACTTATGGACAATGAATAACAAACAACATATGCTCCTTTGCAGCCTGTTGCTTCAGAAGCAAGACTAATCAAAATCTAAATTACCCACAACACACCATTCCCATCGAGAGAAGGCGCCAAATATGAGATAGCAGATTGTCAAAGCAATATCCAAATCAGAACTATGCTTCCAACTAAAAATATAATACTAGAGTTTCAACTAGTTGGCAAAGCCACAGCATGAGAACTGCCCAGCAATTGTTCCATTTCAATTGGGATTCAAAATTTCCAACCAAAACCATGGGCATGACACAACAATGGTAGTGCACTTCAGGATTAGAACTACTGACATAAAGAAAAAATAGTTCTCACCAAATCAGGCCTCGAGTTAAAAAGGAACTGCAATATTTTTGTTCCAATAGCTCCATTAGGGGGAAGCTCGAATGCTGTGAAAGCAAGAGTGGACAATACAACCTGCAACAAGACAGAAGGCAGAAAAGTTAACACAATAAATATAAAGACAGGCCTAGAATTAATATGGTCATAATTATTTATAATTATATATTGCAGAAGATCAACTAGAATAGTAATTGCTTTCTGGCAGAAGACCTAAATTTGCACCATTCTCGTATCTGATATCTCAAACATATTACACAATTTACAACGGTCAAATCTGGTGCATCACTAAGATTTATTGGTTTGTTCCATAGCCCAAGCCTTCCTACACTTAATCTATCATGCATATCTCAACAACTTAATAAAGCCTTATCCCAACTACTTGAGATTGACTGTCAATAATCATGCTTAAAACAAGGCACGTTTGGGACTTGGTTGATGAAAGATTCCGACGGCGGTTGGCAGGGTGAAAGTGGCAACATTTGTCAAAAGGCGGTATAGTCACGTTGATCAAAACCTATTTCATGTCCTTATTCACCACTCCTTTGGTTGCTAAGTATAGCGATCCCGGGTTTACCCTTGTTGTACAGTGATCTGGACATGTGTCCGCGGATGTTGATTTGGCGGATGGCAAAAATATGCACAGCTCTTAGAGAAGGAAAATGGGGTTTTGAAGGATAGGGTTTTAAATCAAACCCTTCTAGGAAAATGGCTTTGGAGATATTCTCGCAAGTGAGATAGAGGTTGATAGGTCTTTGGAAGTGTGTTCAACTAGGTTGGAATGTTAAGATCACCAATTGTCCCAACAGTGTATATCAAAGTCTCCGACGTGGAATACCATTGGGGTCACACTAGGTTTGTTGTCAGTGAGAGGGTACATTTTTAGAGTCATCTTTGGTGTGGGGAAGAGAGGCTTGAAGAGACATCTCCACTTCTTTCTCATATTGTGGTTGATAAAGAGGCCTCTATGGGTGATATCAGAAAAAAGAAGGGTCTCAAGTTTGTTGGGATAATTACCATTTGTAGAGAGTTGAACAATTGGTAGGTGGGGGAGGTGGGGAGTTGGCAGATCTTCTTGGGTTTCTTTAAGCTATTCCTTACATAGGTGAGGGTGAGAATGCCTAGAGTTTTGGGATCTTTGAGGTGAAATCTTCACTTAGAAAATATGAAGAAGAAGAACTCCGAAAATATGAGGAAGAAGGAATATATTTCTGTTATATTCAAAACTTCTTATCTTATAAGACCAAATGACACTCCTTATATAGGAGATATTACAAACATCATCATAACCCATTATATGCCACTTACATATTATATATTACCACTATCTACCACTATCATATTATATACATGCCACTATCTACCACCAACACCACTATCATATTCTATACATGCCACTATCTACAACCAACACCACTATCATATTCTATACATACCACTATCTACCACCAACACCACTATCATATTCTATGCATGAACACAATTTCCAGCATCTTCTTATGAAGTATCGACATGACATAGAGATTCTTCATTTTTCTTGGAAAGGGATTTAGGTAAGGCACTGCCCAAGGTTTCCTTTTCTGTGTGGATGGCAGGTACATGATAAAAATCCTTACCATTGAATTTAATTAGGAGAAGGCAAATGATGTAAATTGGCATTGAATGTGTAAGCAAAATGGAGAATCAGTAAATGACTGACTCATTCATTGTTGGTAAGAGGCGTTTGGATTATTCTAGCCATGTTTGGACTATTGTGGGTGTTGAAGCTTGGGTAACCAGCTTAGGGTATGATGAGATATCACCCCTTATTTATAAATGAAGATTTAGGGTTTACAAAGAAGACAATTACAAGATAATCCCTGAGTGCGTAAAAATGATTACAGATCCTAGAGACTTTCGGCTAATATAATATGCTAAGTGCCTTTCGGTGATTATAATATGTCAACAGGTGTTTCCTAGGAGCATATTGGACCTTATCCATTCTTAAAGGAAGGCTAGAATGGGGAGAGATGGAAAAGGGCTTGATCTTTGCCTTGGTTCCTGTGTTTGGAATGCATTATTTTGGGGGAGAAAAGAAGGACTTTTGATGGGAAGGAGAACCACCTTTTAAAATGAAAACTAAAATTTTGTCCTTTTAGTATAAGTGGGTCATATAGGTGGTTCTCAGGGGTTATTGTTTCATCCTTGGGGACCGATTTCCTGACTTTGTAGAGACTTTTGATTCAAGCATTTATATACAAGAGTTGGGTGTTTTGTTTTGCTTTTATTATGGTCTACATAGGTCGCACCCCCTTCATGCATTATCTTTTATAAAATGTTACTTATCAAAAAATAAAATAGTCATGTGTGGGATAGCTTATATGTGATTTGCATGCCTACTCAACACCAATCAAGAATAAGAACTTATCACGTTAAATATTTACCTGAGTCAATCCCATGCCAAAGGCAAATTTAGCAAGAGCTTTCAAGCGTGCAAGTGAAAGCTCCAAACCCATCTCAAACAGCTGCAAAGGAATGTTAAATGAGTCAAAAAATAAGTATGATCCAGTTATTACCAACCAGACAGCACAGCAACTATCTAATTATAATTGCAAATAAGAAATAGCAACATAAAAAACTCTGTTTTTACAGAGAATCAGCCATCTAAACTTCTTGATGCTTTAACTTTTACCGGGATGGATGCTTAGATGCAAGGAAAGCACAACTATTGCACAGGCAATTACAAAATTGAGGAATTCTATGATTTTCCAGAACTCAAGATCGTAAAAGATTTGCATGTAAGAATTATCACTCGGCATGCAATCACTAGTCCTCCAAAAGGATATCAATTATGCAATATATGGTGTATTTAGGATTAAGACTTGTAAATTCCAGTAGTACCTAGTCTGAGATGTTTTGAAATTGCTATATGATGCTTATGAATGTAAGAAAGTGTTATAATGTGTATCTAGATTCAATGGATGATGCATACGTCTCAAAAGCAACCTTATACAAACCTAAAAATTAATCACAAAAAGGTTCAAAGTCACTCTTTCTAGAACTACAATAAGGAAACAAATAATAATGATGACAAGCATATCTAGCAACACAACAACAAAAAAAATGGAATTTGCCAGCTATTTTGTGTTGGATTTTGGCACGGAGAGAGAGAGAGAGAGAGAGAGAGAGTTACCAAGAAAAGGATCCCCCATTCAGATAGAATTTTAACATCTGTAAGATTCCTGATCAGACCAAATTGATTGAGCACAACTCCCGCAAAGAAGAAACCAAGTATCTGAAAACATTAACCAAATCCTCATTTTTAGTTATCATTTGAAAGTAAGAACATATAGTTTAAAAAATAAATAAAACACACCAAGCAATCCTTTTTCTGCCATGCTGTACAAAAAGTTGAAGATTAATTGAGTATATAGGCAGAGATTAAATCAATCCAAATCCCAAACGTACTAAATGCTAAATATATAGACATTCTGTTTCAGTCATCAGTAAACTGTTTCTCTCTATTAAGAAGATGTTAGTAATCATAATTACAAAGTAAGCATTACTTATCAAAAAGAACAAAATCTCTCTCTCCTTGGGTGTGCATATTCTATCCTTTTCATGTCCTTGTGTGTCCTTTTGTGTGCACATTCTGTCCTTTTTATAAAATTATGCACCAAGTGCAACTCAGGCATGCCAAAACAAGAGTCAAAAAATTCCAAGTACAAAAGTACACTTACAGGGCTAGTCTTGATGATCTTGAAGGCTGGAACAACCATAACAGTCACGGCTAATAATGTCAAAATATCCAATCCCAAATCATTGATGACATCAACAGCACCAGAAACATCAAGTGCTGTATATATCCGGAATCTTTCCCTCTGAGCCAGTCTATGATTGAAGAAGCAGAATCCTATTTCACTAAAAATTGAGGGAGATAACAAAGGCCTGCCCTTGGATACATTTGCAGTAAAAGAAATGCAGTGACTTATTCTGTGATATATGGAGGACGATGGCACACGCATTTGTCGGTTATATGGCACAGAGAAAAAATGTCGAGACATATGTGAAAATGCATGAGAATTGGCCCTAATAGTAGTACTTGTCTGATTGACGAAGTCATATCCCTGAAAGTAAACAATCATACAAGATAGGTTAACATCCTGAGCATGATTTACCTCCAAGAATTGCACTTTCAATCAATGTTGAAATATTTATTATACTTTGAATCAATGTTTTCATATAACATGATCGTCAGCATAGTGAATCACAACATAATAGCAAAAAAAATATGTGACTGCTTCGTCAACTAACCTACAGACATGACATCTCCAACATTGAAACGTTTATTATACACCAAGCATCTCCAACGTTTATTACACACAAGACATGTCACCCATGAACATGAAATGAGCAAAGAAAAAATTCAAAGCTTTGATCTGCATTCTGGAGGAACCACTTTGCTTTTTGAGAAAAAATATGATAAAACTTTTGCACACAAAAGCAAGACAATCACTTTAAAATGCTAACCACAGATTGCCTTCGTGAAGAGTTTTACTTTTATCTCAAAACCTATTTGAGATTATATGGGATTTGGTGCTGATGCTTCAAATAAATTAAATACAAATACGGGTGGAACAACAAGGGTAGTCTTTTCCCAAACATAGGAAAAACAAATATCAATATCAGCCACCTCTGAACTTTGATTTCTGTTTGTGAACAAAATCTAAACACAATTTTTGGGGAAAGTCATGAAGATTTAAACTATGCAAAGTTATGCGAAAGCATGATGTAGTGAAGATCAACATAATCTTGGAAATCAAGCTAGTTCTTGTTTGACCCCAAGAGAAAATTTCCACAAAACACAAAAAAAAAACCACCCATCACTGAGTACACATTAATGAAATATAATTCTATGTATTACATTTTCATATAATGGTCCATCAAATAGTATTGAAGATTAAACACTGCAACATACTTTCAACAAGTTAATTAAAAATAAAATGAAAAATAACAAGCCCAAATTAATCTAGTATGACTATTGCAAACCAGCCAAATGAATGATATAATTAATGCCCCTCTTGAATCAAATTTCTGAATCATGGGTTATTTACTATAGACCCCAAAATATCACGGCCATACTTAAACTAATCCTAATTAGACTTCCCTTTTTTTTTTCTCTTTGGTTTTCTCATGAACCAAACAGAGGATAAGTTGTTCAAATATAAGCCTCCAAGAATTTGGGTAAAGAGAAGAGATTACCTTGGCACAGTGGCAACAAGAAACAGAGTCCCACATAGTGATGGTGGTGCTCATGAAGCAAGAAAGAATGGGTTGGGGAAGGAACTAGGCATTTGTATTGGTTGAAGTAAAGAATGTTGTTGGAGAGAATGAGATGTGTAGATGTAGATTCGGTTTTGGAATTTTGTATATATTTGAGTGTGTGTATGTGAAGGTGAGAGGAGAGGAGAGGAGAGGAGGTGGAGTGGCCACACGTTAAGAGAGAGAATCTAGAGAGAGAGAAGGATAGGAATTTGCAGCTATGACCTTTGTCCGTACGGAAAAAACCGGCACTCTTCAGAGTTCAGGCGCGAGTGTAACGTCCAATTCACATATGTTCTTACTCTATTAATTCAGTATGGTTATTATTCTTTTTTTTTTTTTCTTTTAATCTGAATTAATTATCCAAACACAATTTATTTTTAATTATTATTCATATTTAAATTTATTATATAAATTGATGACCCAAACACAGTTAAATTTTTATATAAATTATTATTCAAATACAATATAATGACACTTTTCTAAATAGTTGGGTACTTTAAAAGCATTTTAACCTTAAATTATAATTTTATATTTTTTTATTATTGAATATTTCATTTTTAATTTCAATTTTTGCGTATTTTGGAAAGATGTTTAAAAATTGACTTTTGACTTTTAATCAAATTTTTAAATTTTTTTAGAAAGTCATTTAAGAAGTTGGTAAAAAAATACTTTTGATTTTTTTTTCTTAATATTTATTTATACTGTCACGTCATAATCAAATGATCAAAATATCCCCATCCATTTTAAAAAATAACTATTTTTACCCATGTGGCACATTTAAACAACATTGAGGGTATAATTGTAATTTTACATTGTCGAATCCTAACCACTATTTTCGTTCGGTGGTTCGAAATCGAACAAAATAAAATAGTCTGGCATCACATTGTCGAACAAAAAATATAAGTCTGGTAACCAATTACTGAATATTTGCAGCCATGACCTTTGTCCGTACGGAAAAACCGGCAGTCTTCAGAGTTCAGGCGCGAGTGTAACGTCCAATTCACATATGTTCTTACTCTATTAATTCAGTATGGTTATTATTCTTTTTTTTTTTTTCTTTTAATCTGAATTAATTATCCAAACACAATTTATTTTTAATTATTATTCATATTTAAATTTATTATATAAATTGATGACCCAAACACAGTTAAATTTTTATATAAATTATTATTCAAATACAATATAATGACACTTTTCTAAATAGTTGGGTACTTTAAAAGCATTTTAACCTTAAATTATAATTTTATATTTTTTTATTATTGAATATTTCATTTTTAATTTCAATTTTTGCGTATTTTGGAAAGATGTTTAAAAATTGACTTTTGACTTTTAATCAAATTTTTAAATTTTTTTAGAAAGTCATTTAAGAAGTTGGTAAAAAAATACTTTTGATTTTTTTTTCTTAATATTTATTTATACTGTCACGTCATAATCAAATGATCAAAATATCCCCATCCATTTTAAAAAATAACTATTTTTACCCATGTGGCACATTTAAACAACATTGAGGGTATAATTGTAATTTTACATTGTCGAATTCTAACCACTACTTTCGTTCGGTGGTTTGAAATCGAACAAAATAAAATAGTCCAGCATCACATTGTCGAACAAAAAATATAAGTCTGGTAACCAATTACTGAATAAAAGATACATTTTCGGTAACCCCAAACCGAATTTTTTAAATTTTTTCGACTTCTCATTACCTTGTATTTTCAATTTCATATTTTTATATTTTTATATTTTTTTGCCTGGAATGATTATAGTTATACTTATTGAGTGCTGCAATATTAGTGGACTCTAGTCATGAATTAATTACAGACGAAGTGTGTTAATCTTTTTTATGAATACGATTTTTTCTTATTTTTAATTTGTATTGAGTTTTATTAATAATTTGACGTATAAATGTATTTATTATCTTTAGTTTTTTAGTAGTTGTGAAGCATTAATTAAATGGACTTCTAACGTTGGAAAAAAAATTGGATTTGTCATATTTATAAAGACATCAGATGCGGGAGATAATGGCAGAAAATCAAGATTTACACTTGCTTGTAAAAGAAGTTGTTACTATAGAGACAATAGAAGAATCAAGGGGGAACGATTGAGGTTGACAGGTTCTAAAAAGTGTGGATGCCTTTTTCTATTAAGGAGAAAAAAATTACCTACAAATTACCGAGACAAATTGTGATAATATGTTTAATTGATAGATAGATTTTATGGATACTTTATGGATATTCGTACACTTGATATTTTTATGAATAATTTTATGGATACTTTTTATGTATAATTTTATAGATGCGTGTTTGATTTATGAATTTTTTTATAGATGCTTCAAGGAAAAAGTAAGGTTGCGTTGGTAGAGTTTTGTAAATATGATTTGAGAATATGAGTTGTATTTTGAGTTTGTGAGTTTTGAAATTATGATTTAAGTGTAGAAAATTTGTTGGTTATGAATTTTGAAAAGAATTTTAAATTGAGTGAGAAATTTTTGATGTGACATGTGATATTTGATACAAAAACTAACAACTCATATCCAAACACACAACTCAAAATTCTATACAAAACTCATAAAAAAAAATTTAAAAATTTAGAAAATATTTTTTATTTAATATATAAGACATAACATGTGTCAATTCCAACCAAAAAAAAAATTCATTGACGGGGACGTCCTGCGGGACATCCGGGGGTCGACCGAGGGGACATTCGGGTGACAAAGTTTTCAAAGCAAAGCGTGGAATTGATTTTTAAAAACCGTGAACAAACACACAACTCAACAACACACCTGGAATCACATTTCCAGAACACAACCAAACAGAGCCTAAATCTTTCAATGTACAACAACGGGACCTCGACAACTCTATTATAGTTTGGCAATATGACATTAGAGTTATTCCATTTATATAACAATGTATCATTGAATATGCACTTCACAAGTAGTCCGAATTAATTTCTTATTATATAATCAAATTGGATGGCAACATAATGCTGGGAAAAAAAATATTGTTCGGTAATTAATTAGCATTGTATTACCGAGCAGACCCATCACAAATTAAAAAATCATTGTTTGAAAGAAAGTGTCTTTGTAAACATATAGCAACAAAATGCTGGAAAGATTTATTTTTTTCGACATCATAACATCACAATAATATAAATTATTTAGTATCGTGTTATCAAAATTAATGGTGTAAAGAGATAAAATAATTAATTTAGGATTAACTTTCATAATATATTGAGAGTGTAATAGAAATTACATTTGTTTTTAATAGAGTAATGAGATAAAAGATGTAAAAAGAAATAATGATGTAAGTCGAACCACCTAATAATTTGATGACAAAAAAATCATTTTAACTTTTCGACCCAAACAGCAAAACGTTACCTTTTTTTTTCATTTTTACCAAATGACACCTTTATCCGACCTATTTGGTCGCACGAGCAACTTTTGCTATTTGTCCAACCATCCACATCTCTCTCTCTCTCACAGACCATAACCCTAGCGCATCCACTTTGGTGTTCTTGAAGACCTGACTTTAAAAAAAATAATAAAAAAAAATTAAGATAAAATTTGATACGACCTTTTTAATTGCTTTTTACTTCTTACTTCTATAGAATTTAAAAAAATTGATGCGTTTAATAATTTATTTTTTTTTTTTATAACTTCTAAATTATTATTTTCAATTCAAGACAATTATGCTTTTACTTATTTTGTCAAAAAATAATAAATAATTTTTTAACATAGGTCAATCAAAAGATAAATCAAACTAGTAATCTCATCCCGAATATTAATAAAATTTTAATATCTGAAATGATAAAATAACATAGATCACTCACACAAATGAAGCCAACAAAATGTTGGAGTGACATTTATACGTGAACTAGCGACAAATTTATTAAGAAAGAGAAAAATGATTTCCAAGTATAAAAACTACCATATGAAAGAACTAAAGTTAAGGAAAATAAATAAAAATAAAATAAAAAGTAATTTTACTTTACACATTTTATATTCCTCTACATAATTTGAATATAACTCCTTCTCAGGTAATCTTTTTCCTCTTTCTCTTCCACATATTTTTATATATTTTTTTAGTACTCATTCAAGTGATCAATAGATTCTCTTTTTTCATTGCATTCCATATATTTTTGCAAGTACTTATTGAATAACTGCTATTATCCAAAGCAATTGGAGCCTCTGCCAAAAGAATGTTAAAATGCATAATTGACCAAAAGTATAATCACACCAAAGACTTCGCTCACAGAGCGAAGAAGATCAGTATTTATTGGCACAAAACAACATAATTACAAAGTTTGAGATACAGACCATATAATCTTGAACAAAGACACTTTATTAGAAGCCTTTTCACATAGAAGAATAAGAATTTGCAGGAATGAACTTGAGTGAAATACTATTGACACAGTGGCGTTCATCTGTTGGTGTTCGGAAGCCTTCGCCTTTAAATACATGGCCGAGATGTCCACCGCAAGCTGCACATGTAATCTCAGTTCTCATTCCATCTGGGTCCGGCTGAGGAAACATGACAATATTGTTTATTATAAGAATAAAATCAATGGAGACGAGAAATTGTAAGATGAACAGGCGCAATATAAAGTTCCATTTATTTTAGTAGAAAATATATTTGAAAGGGAAAATATTTTCTGTAAAAAATGTTTTTCTATGTTTAGTTGCAATCTTGATACTAATTGTATTAGTGGTGGTGATGGTGGGGTGGCAGAGGCAGGTGGGGGGTGGAGATGGTAGTGGTAGCAGGGTGGTGGTGCTAGGATGGTAAAGGTGGTGGTGGTGGTGGGGTGGCAGTGCAGTTGTGGAGGTAGTGGTGATGCCGGCAGAGGTGGGGTAGTGAGATGGTAGCTGTGGTGGTGCTTGTAGGGTGGTGATGGAAGTGGGGTGGTGAGATGGTAGAGGTGGTGGAGGGATGGTGGCAGTGGCAAAGGTGGTGGTGGGGGTGGGGTGGCATTGGTTAGAGTTTAGTTTGGATAACATTTTTCACCTTTGAAAAGTGGAAAAAAATCTCCTTCCAAATGAACCTGTTTTCTGTTAATCATGAAAATCGTTTTCCATTAGACCTTTGTTTTCCATCATACTAAACGCCAGAAAATGCAAAAAAAAAATTCACCCAAACAAAAATAAGAGGAACACGAGCTGACATTGCAATTTATGGCTCCAGGGAGACCCTCATAGAAAGCCGGCCAACCACAACCCGAGTTAAATTTAGTTGTGGACCTGTAGAGAGGAGTTCCACATCCAGCGCAGGTATACACTCCCTCGCCAAAGAACTTGTCATATACCCCAGTACCTGGATACCTGCACAGAGGGCAATTATGTCAAGACCTGTACACAAATGTATAACAGAAAATAATTCAGTTCTTTCAGAAATATTCACCGCAAAGTCAGCCACATGTTGCATCCATATAGCTGTTGGAAAAAACTTGTTGAGAGTTGACACATGAAACTTGTAGAACTTATTCATTCATTCAACCTGTATAAATCCAAAACAAGCTCAAAACGAAGCGCATTTGGTCTTTTCTTGTTTTCTGTATAACTTATTCTTTTCCTCAAATTTTCAAAAAAATAAAAAATAAAAAATTCATAAGATTATTATTTTGGAGTAGAACTTCCTTTTTAAAGAGGAAAATTTATGTTCAAATACTCAAAAAATCCAGCAGGTGCATTGGATTTCACATACATTTTCCACTCATTTCTCACCTATCTCAGGCTTCAACTTCAGTTCTGCACGATTTTGTATCTCCCTTACTGCATTCAACTTGATTTTACCTTCTTTCCCTCTTCTTCTCTTAACAAAGAAGTTGGCTTTCAAGTCTAGAAATTTTGTAAAAATCAGACATGTTTGGACATGAGGAAGTGTCCAACGAGTGTCATGTCTGTGAGCATGCTCTCCTAAAACCTCCTCTGCCTGCCACACGATGAGCCTCAGCGTCATTTTTTTTTAAAAACGAAGCAAAGAAAACACACTTCCCCATTGAATTTGTATGGTGCAGCTTAAACATTCAAACAATGCATCTCTGTCACAAGGATTTGGTCACACATCCAGTTCAACACTGCCTTGTGATGCAAGTGCCATCAAAATCTAGAAAGTGTCATGGATGAAATATCAAAACCCTAATCTGCCCAAGTGTGGCATAGCATGTCTGGTAGGGGTGTTCAAAAAACAGATTGGCCCGATCAACTTGACCGAACCGAGCCTAACCGACGTGTCACGGTCGGCTTCATCAGCATATGCGGTCGGCAACGGTTGCAAGTAATTTAAAATCGCCATGTACAGTTGGTGAACGGATGCAAGGAATAAGCAACCACCTAAACTGATCCAACTGAGCTTTATGTAGTACATACGTGGCTTCATTCTATTCATATTCCATATTACAACCTTATCACTGAACATAGCTGGCAGCTTTTTATTAGTTCTTGACTTTTTATATTTATCACCTTATTGTTTTATCACTAAAAGTTGAAAACAACCCATGTGAATCATCAAATCTATCAAATCATGTTGGGGTTTTTTCTTTCTTCACAAACATATTTTCTTTTTCCAATTCCAAGATCAAACAAGAAGCTTTTGTTCTCTCTCTTCACAAACCTTCTCTTTATTCACATATAGGCAACCAAATGGTGAAGCAATAATTTGAAGCTGTGATAGAGTTTCGAAGAGAAAATCTACAGCAACATGGGCCGCGATCAGCAGTGATTAGCTGGGACAAATGGTGATCATGCTCGATAAAATGAATGAGCAGTGACATCTAACCTCCCTCTCTCTCTCTCTCTCTCTCTCTCTCTCTCACACCAACCTCATCTCTATCCCACTTCCACCCCTTTCTCCTTTATTCCCTTTCCGATCTCCCTTCACTTTCCAAGGCCGCTCTTCTCAATCCTCAACCTCCTTTGCCCATCTCCCTTCTCAACCTCCCTCCCTCACTCTCTGGAACTTTGTTCCTTAATCTGTCTTCCTTATGCTTTAGGTTGTGTTTGGTAAAGGACGAAGACTCTGGAAACTGGGGTCGGATATTTGTTGCCCGAACAGAATACCGACCGTTAAAGAGACACCCGATTCTTGTCGGCTTCAACAAGTTCGCGGTTGAATTCGAGTCCCAATTTCTGAAACCCAAACTGGTCGAGTCGGGTGGCGGTTTAGCACTAAAACCGAGCTGACTCGACCCGTGAACACCCCTAATGTCTGGCATAAGAAGTTTCGGGCTTTCAGCTATGTATCCAATGAACAGTCTATAAAAAAGCTTCACCAAGAACTAGAAGGTTATGCATGTAATTTTCATTTCTAAATGACAAGCTTGGGCAGTACTTGTGCAGCTGTAGGAGAATCTAGTGCGTATTCTAATACTCATACCCATGTCATCTCTTTAACACACCTAACTACCTCACCAATTTTGAAGTGTACACATCTACCTGATAACCATGTCATCTCTTTAGCATGAGGCACACAACAAAATGCTATGTAATAAGCCTTGAGGTTTGCCTTGTGCTTAAAGATGCAGGACATAAATTAACCAAAAAGGTCAACTGGATTGACTATTACATATGGGATTCGACTAATATGGCAATATCTCAAGCCTAGCAAGTATATTCTGAACTCACTATTTGAAGTGATCTTTTGTTTTCTTTTTTCTTTTTTTCATGGCCAATTTTTTTAAAAGATCTATATTCTAGTGTAGAGAGAATAAATAATGCAAACAGGAACCAAATGCAAACAGAGGGACTTGAACCAAGACCTCCCCCAACTTGAGCTTTGATACCATGTTAAGTCACCAATTATCCCAAAAGTTTATGAAATTGGCCCAACAAAGTATATCAAACTATCCAATAATTACAACGTGAGCTAGATTTACAATTGACAACACGCATGAAAGCAACTATAGGTGAGAAGCCAGAAGTAACACCAACTGCAAGCAAGATAAGGAAAATCATCTATTGTGAAAAGTTGCTGGTATTGAAAATGTAATCATCTAGTTGACATACTCTCAACAAACTGAACCGGCACAAACTTGTTCAAAAAGACTATAGCAAGTTTCAGCTACCTGACAGCCAAATGCGTCAACACGTATTTGGTTCAGACATTGAAACTTCAAGTTAACAACCATGGACATGAAATTTAGCACAACTCATAAGATGGGCATATCCCACAAAAAAATAAAATAAAAATTATCAAAACATAAATAAATAAATAAATAAAAAGCGGAAAAACAGTTACATGGTGCGTATGTCCCAACTGAAAGAGACATAGAGAGATGAAAAAATAGGGTTTAGTTAGACAATGGTATGAAATTAAACTAAAAAGAATAGACAAAATCGAAAGAGCAAAAGGAACATCATAAAAAATATAAAAATAAAGGAGGAAGAAGAAAGGTAGACCGAGAAGAAAAAATTAGTCAAGATGTAATCTCAGAAGAATGTGATAAATGAAACATTAAAATGAAAGAAGGTCAACATCCCGAATAAACCGGCTTGTTAATGTATTAGTTAAGCACACGTTAAGTGTTGGTACATTTTGTAAAAACCAGTAATGCAGTCCGAAAGTAACTACGTACATTTGGGATATCATACCAACCAATATCCACTTTATGCAAAGCCAGTCATTTACTTCATCCAGGGGTGCAACTTGGGCGGGCTCAACCCGAGCCCAGCCCGAATTTTTGTAGGGCTTGGAAATATATTTTTAAATTCAGTATGAGCTTAGGCAAAAATTTAGAAACCCAAATTAAATTTGGGCAGGCTTAGACAAAGACGTCAAACAATCCGAACAATCCGAAACTCAAATTATACATATATAGAAATATAAAAAGATTAAATATACATATAAATTATTAGTCATTACATGACATAAAAGTAATTTAGATTATTAAATCTTATTGAATATATATTATATATACAAATAACATAAAATCTTACTTTTTTTTATTTTCACTCATAAATTGTAAGGACTACTATAGCGGTATCTCTCTTACATTATATAAATTATTTGTTTTGATGGTATTAATGATTTTCTATGTAAAAAAAATGTAAATAGAGTCAAATTTTAATAATTTAATAGTGTAGCTGCAAAAAAAAAAAAAACAAAAACAAAAAAAAACAACAACAACAACAACATTGAAATTCATTTACAATTCGGGTTTAACTCGGGTCGTTCTTGGGCATGCAACCTCAAGTTATAATTTGAGTCTGGACTGGTATCAGCACAACTTAGGCTGGGTTTGGACAACCTCCCAACCTGACCAAACCCACCCGAGTTGCACCCCTAACTTCATCTAAGCATACCTTTTCCCTAATTTTTCCTTCGCACACCAAGCAATAATCACACACACACGCGCACACATATATCAAACAAAATTCTAAATGAGTAAGCCAAGAATTGGCAAATGGATCTTCAGAACAATCATAACACCAAAATACAAGTAAATGTAATAGTACTAGTAAGAAGAACCACTAACCCAATAAATAACTAAATTGTATTTACCAAATGGTTTGACAAAATCAAACAAACACAAATAAAATAAATCCACCACAAGACCCAATTCAAGACATAACAAACAAAAAAAATCTACAGCAATTCAATCAAAACATCATGCCAAAACATAAAGCAGAGAATTTTGTAGTATCATACTCTGTTCCTTTCTGCCTCAGAATCCGAAATTGCTCAGGTGAAAGAATTGCCTGCCACTCTTCCTCTGATTTCCGAGCCGAACCAGGTGTTGCCATGGCTACGACGCTACTGCCTCTGAAGCTTCTCTTGCTCCGATGAACTACCGCACTACTAACCCTAGATGGAGAAACCGTGGGGTTGATTGTGGGTTTTGAAGAACAACGTGTGAGTTGGGTGTTGTGGATTTTACCGGCTAGTAGTGATCGAGAGAGAGGGTTGTGATTGAAAATTAGGGTTGTAAAATATGAACCGGGAGAGATTTGGAGGATCTGAGAGCCCATCTGAGACAATTGGAATTGTTAAATTTGCGTATAGACCGATTCTAGGGGATAATGTTCACTGTTTCAAGCTTCACCAAGTCAGCCTTTTCACAATTGTGCACTTTATTTATTTATTTATTTTATTTAAGTTACAAATAGGCTGACTATATTCGTTTAAAATACAAATTATTCCTCTAAATATAAAAAATTATAAATATTTTTTTATCATAATTTTTTATTTAATAAAATTAATTAAAAAATAAAATTTTTAACTACTCTCTCATATAATAATAAAATTATCTAAATTATTAATTGAAATAAATTTCTAACATAATTAAAAATTATTAATTAACTTGATGATTTATTAATAAAATAAACTATTTGTTATGGAATTGAAAATTTCAAGAAATGGAATGTCATTTCTAAAATCATATAAAATAATTTATATTTTAAATAAATCTCAATAAGTGTATTTCTAATTTATCTTTTTTTTTTATCGGAGAATTTTCATGTACAGTTTGTGATTACCTAGTTCATGGATAAATTATAAATAATAAATTACACTAACATCCTTTAAATTAATAAAATATAATGTCAGTTTTATACATAATTACATTTATATATTTTTTAAATAAGGTTAAATTGAATGAAATTAATATTGATTGTGCAGAAATATAAAAATAAACACTATAAGGTATATATTTTTGTGTAAAATATATGATAGTATAATTTTTTTATAGAGAAATTTATTCGAAAATCCTTTTTCAAGTTTTGTATCCCAATTAGTCTATAAGATATTCTTATATTCTAATAAGTCCTATTATTTAGACATTTGATCTACCAAATCGTAATTCTCATGTTTAAGGTATTTTATGAACATTTATACCCTTACAAATATTTTTTTAACAGTTTGAAATTTGATAATGTGAATATTTATATTTTACAATGTGAATATTCACATTGACGTGTGAATGTTCACATTGACATATTAACATTTATATTGATAGTGTAAACATTCACACTGTAAATATGAATATTATTAGGAATATTTTGGTAACTATGTCACTCATAGGATTTATTGAAATATAAGAAAATAAAATGGACTAAATAGAATATAAATAGGTAAAAAGGAATTTATGAAAAAGTACTTTTTTTATTAATATAGCTGATAAATTATTGACGAAAAATAGGATAAATGGTATATGAATTAAAATTTCAAGCAAGCTCAATATAATTAAGAGAGAAATAAAAGAAAATAATTTTTTTCCCTTTTATTTTGTTATGTTGGAAAGAAAATGTAGTAATTTCTCTCCAATCTTATTTGATAAATTACATAAAAGGAAAAAAAAAAAAACTTTTACAAGTTATTTTACCAAATTAGCAAAATGACCTTGTACAATATGTTTTTTTATTTCTTTTATAGGTGGATGATGGGCAATTTTAATAATATACAAAATTAATAATCTTTCCATTTTTTTTCCTACCTCAAAAAGTGAGTTATGAGAGAAGTATCCATTTCTCCACATTGCTTTCCTCTTTAATAATTCAAACAAGTGATTAAGAATATGAAATATATATATTTTTATTTTCTCTCTAAATCACTTAATCTAAATAAATGTTATTAATATATTTTTTTATAAATAACAAGAAAAGTTAGTATAATTTACTCAGATGTTTTGTAACCTCAGATGTTTTGTAATCTTTGTAAAAATATATTTTGTTTTTATTAACTATTATGGCAATTGGAAAAAAATTTAATTTACTGACTTATTGACTTATGTGAGTCACATTACATTTTTATTTTTTTACACCTTTTTTTCAACAAAAAAAAACCCTTAAAAAAATGATTTTTTTTCATACTTTCCAAAATAAGCCTAAAACTATCTATGTAATTATCACTATATTGTAAATTTTACTTAGGGATTATTTGGCAGGTGCTATTTTAACATATCTGTTTATCTTATTTAAGTTATATTATTTTTTATTTAAATTATATTACTTCTCTATTAAATTATATATATTTTCATAAAAAATAAAAATCTATTTATTTAAACCATTCAAAACAATTCTTTTATTTTTAATTGCGTTTCACGTTTTTCCATTTCCTACCAATCGAGGAAAGTCAGTGAGTGGCGTGTGGTCACGAAACGCGTCTACAGTTGCGCTTTTCGATTCCACTACACATTTTTTTTTTGTTTTTGTTTTTTTGCTTCGGTCAAATATTTCGCACCAAACCAAACCCGACCCTCCCCACTTTGAAAAATTCGTTGAAACTTCTGAAACTAATCCCCCTCTCTCTAAACCTCTCCCTCTTCACCAACTCTTCCCCAATTCATCTTCTCCACCTCCTCTGATACATACACATATATATAGCCCTAGGGTTTCGAAGCTCGCTCTCTGCTGCTATTCTTGCAAATTCATCGCTTGAATGGCGTCTTCGAGTGGCTTCGCTACCTCTATTGCTCTTCCCAAGACAACCGCAACCATGGAGTCTTCGTCCAGCCTCTTCCATCTCCACAATTTCTCCTCTTCCGTGCCTTTTTCGTCTTCTCGCTTCCATAAACCGTCGAAGGCCATAACAATGGCGTCTCAGAGAGCGTTCGTGTTCATCCCTAAATGCGATGTTGCTCCTTCGGGCGCTTTGATTCGCGATGATAAGATCGAATCGAAGGCTGCGAGTATTTCTGCTCTCGAGATGCTCAAGACGTCTGCGGCCGACAGTGAGTCCATTCTTCTACATTCTTTGAATTTCCTGATTTTGGCTTTAGTTTGCTAATTTTGTTAGGAATTTTTAGCTTGCATGGTGTATAAATGTTTTACTTTCTTCAATGTTGTTTATTCTGTGTTCATAGACCTACTATGTCCCTGTATCAATTTTGTGCTAGAAAGAAAACTAATCCTTAATGCTTTTTCCCACATTGGTTTGGGGTTTGCTTATTTTTTTTGGCTTATTAGCTTTTTACGAAATGAGAAGTTATGTGACAACTTGTAACAAATATAGAGAGAAGTGATGTGACAACTTATAACAAATAAGCTTCCCTTATCCAGGGAAGCATGTTTTGATCACCATAGTTGTTAGTTTTCATAGACAAAATTGTAGATAATTGATATCAATCTTTCATGACAATGAAGTCAAATAACATGGGGTTGCTTTCCTTTGTCAACTCCTTGCTTGTGTCGTTGACCAAGTCAACCGAACCTAACGAAAGTGTCACAACAACATCCAAAGATTGTCTTTGTCCATGTTACTAAGTACCGGGGCAAGCATAATTTAGTAGAGGATTGAAGAGGGGCTTACTAAGTGAAGGACCGAAGGTACCTTGGGTTTGAGAAATAATATTTAAAGGTCAACAATACCTTACTCTTCTTGGGTGTAGTGTAGGGCAGTTGTTTATCGAATAAAGATATATATTACTATGAAAACATTCAATAATAAATTTATAAGATTGCATGGGTTATGTCATTTAACAAGTATACTTCTCATAGAAGTTAAAATGGAAACATGAGATTTAGGCTTGCTTAAAACTTACAGATTTGCAAAACAAATCACTTAACAAATGCCCCCTAATGCAACTTTCTCTTGAACAAGATGGTAATTAATACTTTGTCCTTGCATGAAACAGGGGATTAATTGTGAGATGAGGAGTTGATAGAATTACATGAATTCATGTTTTGTAAGAGAAACATATCACATGCAATATTTGTTTGACTTTTATGGGATATTTTTCCGTACTTGTCAAACGACATTTACCCTGCAATCTCTCTCTCTCTCTCAAGTGACATTCCCATGCATTCGTTACATTTATTTTTGTTATACTTTCATACTTGTATATATTCTCATTCAATATATAACTATCCATCAAGAAGAGTAGGAGATTGTTTCCCTCTAAACATAGTTCTCAAACCCTTTAATGGATCATAGCCTCAACCGACTCAGAAAATATCTTTATCTGGTTAACACAAGTGACAGCGTCCTCTTTTTCATCTGCTTTCAAGTATTCTTATTTGTCACCCATTAACGTTGGGAACTTTATTTCCCTAAAGCTAATCCAAACAAATGGCAGCGTCATCTTTAACCTCTTCATGACCCTCAATTTTATCTGACAATAGTTTGTGGTTTGCAATACAATATTTGACCTCAATATTTCATATATATTTTTTAGCATGCATTATGTTTGTCGTTATATGCATTATCCTTCCAATCATCATTTTTAACTTGTCATAAGGAATATTAATTAAAGGCACAATTGTTCAAATATGTATACTCTGTTTTTCTCTCAGGATATACAAAGGATAGAAGCAGTGTCGTGGCCATAGGACTCAATGTTCACACAGCACCAGTTGAGATACGTGAAAAGCTTTCCATTCCCGAAGCACAATGGCCTCAAGTGATTAGTGAGCTTTGCGCTCTTAATCATATAGAGGAAGCTGCTGTTCTTAGCACTTGTAACAGAATGGAGATATATGTCGTGGCCCTTTCTCAGAATCGCGGGGTTAAAGAAGTAACTGAATGGATGTCAAAGGTACACTCATCCACTCTCTGATTTCCCTTCGTAATAACATTGGGGTAATAAAGAGCTTGTGATTTATTCAAGTCTTTGAGCCTTCACAAATGGTCTTTTTGAGTTTCTTGCTTTGCAAAATGGGTGAAAGGACACGTATAGAGAAGTTGGCACCAAGCTAAGGCTCCTGTAAATAGAAATATTAAAACTTACAAAATAAAACATATAGATAAAAATGTTGAACTGACCATAATTTTGTTTTTATTGGCAGATAAGTGGAGTTCCTGTTTCAGAGCTTAGTCAGCACCGTTTTCTGCTGTATAACAAAGATGCAGCGAACCACCTTTTTGAAGTATCTGCTGGGCTAGATTCTGTTGTTCTAGGAGAAGGTCAAATTCTTGCTCAGGTCAAACAAGTTGTAAAAACTGGACAGGGAGTCCCTGGTTTTGGCAGGAAAATTAGTGGGCTGTTCAAGACCGCAATCACCGTTGGAAAGCGGGTTAGAACCGAGACTAATATATCAACAGGGTCAGTTTCAGTTAGTTCAGCTGCTGTAGATCTTGCCCTGATGAAGCTTCCGGAACCATCTTATGCCAATCCTAGAGTTTTGGTTGTTGGAGCAGGCAAGATGGGGAAACTCGTAATCAAACACTTAGTCGCGAAGGGTTGCCAAAAAATGGTGGTTGTCAACAGATCTGAGGACACAGTTACTGCTATTCGCAATGATATTAAGGAAGTTGCGATTATTTATAAGCCCCTCTCTGAAATGCTGGCATGTGCTGCTGAAGCTGATGTTATTTTCACCTGTACTGCCTCAAAAACACCATTGTTCTTGAAAGAGCATGTTCAGACATTCCCTCCAGTGAACCATCAAATCGGAGGGCAGAGGCTTTTCATTGACATAGCTGTTCCTAGAAATGTGGAATCGTGTGTCTCGGATCTTGAAACTTCATGTATTTACAATGTGGATGATCTCAAGGAAGTCGTGGCGGCTAACAAGGCGGACCGGATCCGAAAAGCAATAGAAGCTGAGGCGATTATTATGGAGGAAGTGAAACAATTTGAAGCATGGAAGGATTCGCTTGAGACTGTTCCGACAATCAAGAAGCTTAGGGCATATGCTGAAAGAATTAGGGCTTCCGAGGTGGACAAGTGTTTGTCAAAGATGGGAGATGATATCACGAAGAAGAAAAAGGGGGCGGTTTACGATCTTAGTGTGGGTATAGTGAACAAACTACTTCATGGTCCGATGCAGCACCTGAGATGTGATGGAAGTGACTCTCGGACTCTGAGTGAGATACTCGAGAATATGCAGGCTCTTAACAGAATATTTGGGCTCGATACAGATATATCTGTGTTGGAACAGAAGATTCGAGCCAAGATCGAACAGACACAAAAGTAAGCCTTCTTCTATACACCTGTCTCAAATTTCCAGAAGATTGACTCAGGGCGATTATAATTATACGGTGGTACTGGATATTAATTGGTACCTGGCACGGTAGAACTTGTAGTGAATTTCTTGAGATGAAATTTCACATGGAAAGAGGATTTTTTGACATGAGTTCATGGTAGGGAAGAAGGTAAAAGATTTTTGTAGGTGTGGTTGGTCTGTAATTGGAGCAATTTGTTCTTGTAGATGATGAGTGAGACCCACACCAGAACTGAATTATTATTACTTGTAATTAACCATTTTTAATTCATACAAGATTTGTGATGTTAGATTCAGACATCTGCAAAGTTATTATCTGTTGTGATATCTCTCTCTCCAACGTTTTTCCTTTTTGTCAGGTATTATATCCATTGAAAAATGTAGAGATGATGCTTTTGTTTTGATTCATAAAATGGATATACAATGGATATACAGATAAATTATTTTAACGTATCTGTTAGGGAGTGTCGCCTTTTAGCACCTATAATATATTTATAGGGAATTTTACCGCACTTATGTTAGGGCTGAAGTTTAGGCCTCTCGTGGGTTCTAGGTGTTAAAAAGTAAGTTTAACCCAATAAGGAACTATGGAGACTCGAATTCAAAATTCCACCGAACCTATTCCAGGGCCAAAGTTTAGGTTCTCACGTACTTCAGATGCTAAAGAGTATATTTAGGCCTTGTTTGGCAAGTGGTGATTTTAGTCAAAAAGTCACTAAAAAAATTAAAAAGTCAACTTATACAAAAAAGTCAAAAAAAAAAATCTTTTTATTTTTTACACATCTTTTCGTAAAAAATTAAAAAGTTATCCCAAACAAATTGGCCTTGTTTGGTTTGTTTTTGACAAATAAATTTAGGACAAAAAATTTCTAAAATTTTGTTTGGTTTTGATTTTGGAAAAAAAATTCCAAAATTGCATTCTATCTCCTACACATTAATCAATTACTTTTTCTCTTTCCTCTCTTCTTCTCAACCATTTTTTCTCTCACACACATCTACCCAACTATAACAAAATATCAAATCATCTTATACTCCCACACTTCAAAACTATTTTCAAAATATACAACCAAACAAATCAAAAAAAATTCTAAACTCTTTCCTTAAAATTTTTTTTACATCATATTTTAACTAAAAAATTAAAAAATTATTAAAAAAACTTGTTTCCAAATGAGGCCCGAGAGACTATAGAAACTCAAATCCAAACTTTGAACAAAAATTTCGAAAGCCTCACTACTAAACCGAGGCTTTGAGAGATGATGCTGCTAAAACTTTGTGACAGCTTAGGTGTGGTGTGCACACCAATTTGAAACATCCTTAATCAATCATCAGAGTCCTGAAACTTAATGGTCTAATAATTATTTGTAATAAATAAATAAATTTAAACTATTACTAACATTTGCAAAACAATTGAGGAAATTTAAATCACAATTGTACTGTAGCACACGAGCAGTTTAGTTACAATCTAAAATTTTAAATTTTCTTGCGCAATAGAAGAGTGTTGTTTGATTTATTTTTATTTTTATTTTTAAGGAAAAGGGTGATTTTGTGCAAGAACTCAGTTTCTGCTTATAGCATAAATATTAAAAAAAAAATAAAATTAAAAAAAGAAAAGAAAGTACTTTTAAATTATCAATTTTTAACTTTAAAAAAAAAATAAGTAGGGTTGTCACATTTTTTATTTTATATGGGTAAATTACACTGACACCCCCTTAAAGTTTCTGTTTAATATAAATTCTCCTCTCATGTTTGAAAAATTACATTATCTTTTTTGAGATTTGTAATATCATTGCAAATTGCCTCATGAATAGCTAATATCATGTTCTAAAATTTTATAAATGACCATTTTGCCTTTTTTGCTACAATTTGTTCTTCGTACCATCATGATTATATTCTATAACTTTTTATCATTAAATTCTATCTAAATATATTCTTATTGACTGATGATATACAAACATAAATTTTATATAAAATTTTCAAATATAATGATATAATTTAATGATGACATTTTACTTTAAAACAAAACACCCATAAACATGATTTATATTTTCAATAATATTACTAGCTATCACAATGTTTTTATAATTTTTTTTGTATAATTTTTAATATATGAATAGAATTTTTCATTTTTATTTCCACTATCATTTTTTTTTTCCGTCTATTCACCCACATTTATTATAGTATCATCAAATACCGTCATTCACATTTACTGAATTTTTGTAGTTATATATATATATATATATTTGTATTTGGTAAATTTAAAAAAAAAATTATAAAATATTATACTTCTTAAGTATATCTAGATTATGTGTATCTAAAAAATAAAAAAAAAATTATTAAAAATATTAAGAAAAATTCAGCAAAAAAAAATGAAAAATAACGAAATTTAATTTTTTGTGAGAGTTAAACCAAATAAGATGATTTTTATTTCTCTTAAAATGATATGAACAAAATATCAGTATTATTTTATATGTATAAAGGCTAAAGAACAAATATGTCATTTTAATTTGACATGGAGTAGGTATAATTTTTTAAATATAAAAAAAAATTATATAAAATAGAAACCTTAGGAAGTATCATTATAATTTACTCATTTTATATTTTTCTTTCTTTCAATTATTATTGAACCATATAGGTAGAAGTCATAAAATGGGCAAATGAATGAATGAGAAGTGAAAAATTGTCATTGTCTCACTGATTCAATTTCTTAACATTTTTGGTTGCTTGAATCTCATCAATAAATTCATGACCAGCCTCAATTGTAGGACCTTATACAACCTAACTCATGAGAGCATCTCCAACGGTAATAGGCATTTTACCTATCTAAATATTACTATAAAGTATATATTTTATTTTGCCTATCGACTGTTTTATGTTTTTACTCCAACCATGCTCTTTATTTTAGCTATTTATCCAAATATTATTAATTTTATAGAATGCCACGTCAACAACAAAGATGGAGGGAAATGATCCTAGTAATTGAATACATTTTGCCTAGCATTGAAGGCTAGCTACATGTAGCTAGTGAATATGAGTTGAGGCAAAATGCCTAATCATATGCCTAGTGCATTGGAATTGAAAAAAGTGAATCACACTAGGCATTTTAACTAACAAATATTATATGCTTAGTGCATTGGAGATGCTCCTCCCCCAATAAAACAACTATGATGATAATATTCTTATGATATAAGAACAAAAATTATAAATCACGCCAACTACCAAAAATGGTATAATTCTTTGATATATTCTCCTAAATTAATAAAATGTTAAGCAACATAAATGGTAATTAAAAAAGGATAGTTTAAGGGTACTTACCTAAAAAAATAGGTCATTTTAATTAACAAAATTAGCAAAATGAGCCTCCGTTTGCGAAGTGGGTTTACTTTTTAGTTTTTAACTTTTTTAACTATTTTAGTTTGAACTAAAAATTTTAATTTAAAAATGATATTTTGACTTTTTAATTTTTTTTATAAAAAATAAATATTATAATTATAAATTAAAATTAAAGGGAAAATCGGTCTAGGGTCCCTCTCCCACTTTTCGTAATGGAAGAGGCCCACAAAATTATTTTTTGATGTCTAAGGTCCTAAACATATATCAGACAAATTTCAGTTAAACCCACCGCCATTCTTACCCATAACCAGAGAAACCCAGAGCTTTCTAGAGAGAGAAAATGAAGATGATCGGAACAACACTCCTTTCTCTTCTGAAACCATGCGTCGTCGCCGTGAATACAAGAAGTTGCGAATCTTGATGAATCGCAGCATGGTGAGAAGTCTTCCACAATTAGAGCTGGGAGAAAAGATAATCTGTCCAGGATGCACTATCTATAAGTGGACCAGGGCTCAAACCGACGAAGATGGAGTCGAAGGAGGTGCGAACCAGAAGCTCCAGCCACCGTTGAACCGGAAGCTCCAGCTGTTGAGCCTGTGAAAGTAGAGTCCGTGGAGATGAACCAGAAGCTATAGCCATTTCGCTCCCCCTATGGCGACCCTGTTTCAGCAGCACCACCCATTTCCTCCTTTCTTTTCTTTCACTCTTTTTCTTCTTCTAGATCTTAAAGAAACCACACCCAGTTTTGCTATTAGAGAAAAAGTATTCAAAATGACCATTTTGCCTTTTTTGCTACAATTTCTTCTTCGTACCATCATGATTATATTCTATAATTTTTTATCATTAAATTCTATCTAAACATATTCTTATTGAGTGATGATATACAAACATAAATTTTATATAAAATTTTCAAACATGATGATATAATTTAATGATGACATTTTACTTTAAAACAAAACACCCATAAACATGATTTATATTTTCAATAATATTACTATCACAATGTTTTTATAATTTTTTTTGTATAATTTTTAATATATGAATAGAATTTTTCATTTTTATTTCCACTATCATTTTTTTTTTCCGTCTATTCACCCACATTTATTATAGTATCATCAAATACCGTCATTCACATTTACTGAATTTTTGTAGTTATATATATATATATATATTTTTGTATTTGGTAAATTTAAAAAAAAAATCATAAAATATTATACTTCTTAAGTATATTTAGATTATGTGTATCTAAAAAATAAAAAAAATTATTAAAAATATTAAGAAAAATTCAGCAAAAAAAATGAAAAATAACGAAATTTAATTTTTTGTGAGAGTTAAACCAAATAAGATGATTTTTATTTCTCTTAAAATGATATGAACAAAATATCAGTATTATTTATATGTATAAAGGCTAAAGAACAAATATGTCATTTTAATTTGACATGGAGTAGGTATAATTTTTTAAATATAAAAAAATTTATATTAAATAGAAACCTTAGGAAGTATCATTATAATTTACCCATTTTATATTTTTCTTTCTTTCAATTATTATTGAACCATATAGGTAGAAGGCATAAAATGGCAAATGAATGAATGAGAAGTGAAAAATTGTCATTGTCTCACTGATTCAATTTCTTAACATTTTTGGTTGCTTGAATCTCATCAATAAATTCATGACCAGCCTCAATTGTAGGACCTTATACAACCTAACTCATAATACCTTCCCTCCCCCAATAAAACAACTATGATGATAACATTCTTATGACAAAAATTATAAATCACGCCAACGACCAAAAATGGTATAATTCTTTGATATATTCTCCTAAATTAATAAAATGTTAAGCAACATAAATGGTAATTAAAAAAGGATAGTTTAAGGGTACTTACCTAAAAAAATAGGTCATTTTAATTAACAAAATTAGCAAAATGAGTCTCCATTTGTGAAGTGGGTTGACTTTTTAGTTTTTAACTTTTTTAACTATTTTAGTTTGAACTAAATTTCTCTGGACCAATTTTCTCTGGACTGAAATTTCTCTGGACTGAAATTTCTCTGGACTGAAATTTCTCTGGACTGAAATTTCTCTGGACTGAAATTTCTCTGGACTGAAATTTCTCTGGACTGAAATTTCTCTGGACTGAAATTTCTCTGGACTGAAATTTCTCTGGACTGAAATTTCTCTGGATTGAATTTTCTCTGGACTGAAATTTCTCTGGATCAAGGTTGAGGGACCTTAGACATTATGAAAATATTGTTGAGGAACCTTAGACATTATAAAAATATTTGATGTCCTTTATGCTATAAAATCATAATACCAGAGATCTTAAAAAAAACCTCAAAATTAAATATGACACTTTGTTTGTTATCACTAAAATTACTTATTTTATACTTTGTGATTATTTTAGGCCCAAAACTACTTGTCACACCTCTGCCTACACGCTTCTCTCTCTCTCTCTCTCTCTCGCTCGTCAGTCGCACTGATGCTCAGTTCCCCTTCTCTCTCAGATCTCTCTCTCTCTCTCTGAGGCTAAATTTTTTATCGAATTTCGACCTGATTTAGGTATTTCTTTAATTCTCATTTCGTAATTCTGTCCTTCAAAATTTAATTTTTCATTATTTTCTTTGATTTTGTTTTGTTTGTAAGATGTTGATGACTGGGATTGAATACTAAATAATTGGTTTTGTAATTTGGAGACTGGGAATTTGGTGTTCAATCCTTCATAATTCCTTCTCGTTTTCACATCACTGTTTGGCTGCTGAGAAAACTGTGCAATCAGAAAGGAAAACAAAACCTCCATTGGTCTGTTTCCTTTTGTTTGATTTCTGATAATTTTAGATTCAGTTAATCCTTGAGAAGAAGTTTCAGTTCCTGATGATGGAAACTGTACATTTCAAAACTTCAAAATCTTCTCCTTCTTTTATTTTAAATTTAAAAAAAAAATGTCCCAAAACTTAATTGAACATGGTGGTGACCTTTATGTTTTTTTATTTTTTATTTATTTATTTTATTTATTTATGTTTGTTTTTTGAATTGTGATTGAACTTGATTGACTGTTATTTGTTAGAAGAAGCATGTTCATGTATTGAGTTTTGATGTTATATTATGTCTCTCTGTGTATGTATTAAAAAAGATTAATTTGGGTAATTGTTATTGTGGGAGGAACTGTTTGTGAAGCTTGTTTGAGCACAAATTTACTTTGTCATAGTTTAGTGGTTTTACATTTTTGACGCGTAATGAATTTTGTTAGCTGCAGGCAACACCCAACTGTGTACACGGTTAAGAAAGGTATTGTTCTTTTTCTTGGAACTTCAATGTCCCCAACCCAACTGTTTCCATGTTGATGTTGAGAAATTTATAAGCAAAGAATCAATTAAACCAAAATTTTCATTTAAGGCTATAGCTTTTTGCTTCTTCCAACTAGTCCTCATCTTCATCAAGTTTTTCTTTCTGTTATTATGTTTTTGTTTGTTTGTGGCAGAGTTGTGCACATCCTAGATTTGATGCATCAACAACCCCTTGATGATGTTTGCCGAATTTAAACTTCAAATGATAATGTGTCAGTTTTTTTTTTCTTTTTCATTGATTAATTTTTGTGCCAAAATTTATTTTTACGAGACGTTGTAACTGATATTTAAAAATATCTGGATTCTATGGAAGTTATTTTTGAATTATTTTCTCCAATTTGCAAAGTTGTTGGATAATCGACCATATTGGTTGAATAGAAATGTCTTGAGAATAAAAACCAAAGTAACTGATTAGTTAAACAACATTTGACACTAAAGTACGAAACAATTATCCGAGTGGAAGGCTGACTTCTTTCTGCCACTGGAGATTTAAGATAGCAGAATCTTTTTAGTAGACCATTTACAGAATACAATCTGTAGGTACTGTAAGCAGTAAGTTATCATACATGAGTACAAGTCTTTGGTTTGTCACTTCTGAAGGTGGTGATCCAGCAACCAAAGTTTACAAGTTATGAATGAATTAGGGCCACATTTGTTGCCAAAAGTATCTTTAGTTACCTTTAGTTGCCTAAAACATCTGGCATCAACTGCTCAAATGATCCAGAAATTTAGAGATTTTATTTGGTCAGGGAGAGTCAAGAATGTACCCTATATAGGTCAATTGGATATTTGGATGTCTGTGAGCTGAGAAAATATGGGGAGTCTAGTGACTTTATGTTTTTGTTACACTTGAACTTCTTTACAGAGGATAAGACTTGAAAGACGGAATACATAGTTAATGCTTGTGTTACAGTTTTAACTCTTTTATGCTGGACAAGGATTCAAGATAAAAATGCATAGTTAATACATGGATTCACCATTCAACATGGATGAAACACCACAATGTTCAACATAACTATTCGCCATTTGGCCATTGCTATGTTAACAATTAACTTGTATAGTTTATAAGCCAACTAAAGGCCCTTAATTTGAATATTTAAGCTTAGGACGAGATCAAACAGTATTGCAGACCCTAAACTGACAGTAGTGCTCTGAGGTTGATTATTTGGATAACTGACAGTGGTGCTCTGAGGTTGATTATTTGGATTCAGATTTTGATTTGTTGTCAAATCTATGGTTTTGCGGATTTTATTTTTTTTAGAAATTGATTTTTTATTTATTTATTTTTGTAAATTGTCTAGAATGAAGGCTAGAATAGATTTTGTATGCAATTCTAATAGAAGCAGCATCAGGATGCTGGAGTGCAGTTGCAAGAAACTGGGTTTATACATATAATCTTTTGAATAAAATCTTGTTTGTTGGATGCTTTTGTGTCTCCTAATATGTTAGATTTATGAAACTAATTAACCTAAGCGTGAAACTAGGGCCTCCCCTAACAATTCCTTGATCCCATCCTCTCAAGATAATAATTACTTAGAGCCTTTATTTTCCTTTTTCTTTTCTTTTGTTTTTTTCAGATAATGTTAACTTTTGCCAACCATTTGTCTTACAGGATCTTGTCAATTCTACTAGTAAATGGATCTGAGTACCATCAGAGATGCATTTGATCGAGTTGCCAAGAAGCAAAAGTTGTCTACTTCTAAATCCCTGGAAGTCATAGACCAAGTTGGCCGTGAAATTGAACAGGCGTTGGCAAATATCCAGTCCATTCAGGACCTCACCTCTCCTGCACCCATCCTTGTAGAACTTAAAACTAAGCTGAATGCGATTGGCCCACACAACCAGCTTGAGGGATCACAAAAGGAGCTAAACATAAACCTAAATAAGTACCCAAAGACCCTAGAAAGATTTTTCAATCCTGACATATCTAAAGCATACAGAAATGTTGATTTTGACTCCCACATCGTGAATCATATCATTGCAAGCCATTTTTACCGTGTAGGTCTGTTTGACATTGCAGACTGCTTAATAAACGAAGCCGGGGAGCCAGAGGCCATTTTCCTCAAATCTCGTTTTCTAGAGTTGCATCAAATACTGGATGCTATGAGGGCTAGAAACCTCAAACCTGCTCTGTATTGGGTCTCTACCAACCGTGAAAACCTCGTGCAGAACGGTTCAAATCTTGAGTTGAAACTTCACCGCCTACAATTTGTGGAGATTCTCCGGAACAAAAGCCAAGCCGATGCGCTGAATTATGCTAGGACTTTTCTTGCTCCTTTCGCTACCCTTCACATGGACGAGATCCAGAAGCTCATGGGTTGCCTCTTGTGGGTAGGAAAACTCGACAGATGTCCATATTCTGAGTTTCTGTCTCCTACCCATTGGGAGAAATTGGCCGAGGAGTTGATGTGGCAGTTCTGCAGTTTCTTGGGGCAGTCATCGGAGAGCGCATTAAGCGTGGCGGTGGCTGCTGGGGTTGAAGGATTGCCTACTTTGTTGAAGCTGGTCAATGTGATGGCAGCAAAGAAGCAGGAGTGGCAGGCGATGAAACAGTTGCCGGTGCCGGTGGATTTGAGGAAGGAGTTTCAGTTCCATTCGATATTTGTGTGTCCGGTGAGTAGGGAACAAGGCAGTGAAGAGAATCCGCCAATGCTGTTGCCGTGTGGGCATGTCCTTTGCAAGCAATCTATCATGAAACTTTCCAGAAGCAGCACTCGAACATTTAAGTGTCCTTATTGTCCTCTTGAGGCTTCTGTTGCACAATGCAGGCAGCTGTGCTTCTAATAGGCATCTGTGAAGGTGTCTCTCTCTCTCTCTCTCTCATAGACTGAATTTGTGGTATTGATGTGCAGGTATTGTGGGTTATGTAAATAGATATTCTTTCTGAATTCATGTGTTACTTATTCACGTGTCCTACCAGTAATCAACTTATATTGCTTAGCATAAGGAAAATGATCCACAAAAAAGGCATGTGATTTTCTATCTCCAAATCGCTATCTCAATGTACTTCTAGTCGTAAGACCATGTCTTAAGATTCTTGTGTGTTGAGATTCTCACACAATTTTATGATTGACAATTTATTGGGGTAGAGAAATATAACTATATCTCAAGATTTTTATATAATGTTGTGATTGACAATGTATTTGAGTTGGCTTGTGGCCCAGCTTGCCAGCCTGTTTGAGCCAAGCCATTGGGTATGGCTTGAGCCTAATGTTTTTTCAACCTGGTCCATTGGCCCTGCCCAAAAAGCCTGCCAAGAGCCTCGACCCAGTCTACGTTGATCTGTAGTGGGAAATGGGAATCGCAACTTCGGTATAGAGGACCAGACCAGCAATGAGGGAGGAAAGAGAGAACCTCTACCACACCACCAGTCATGTCTACGGCTGTTTTTTTTTTTTTTTGGTTGCAAATGGGGCCGAAGCCAAAAGACCCCGGAGTATCTTCCTCTATCAATCTAGCCAAATCCTCAGGAGGGAGAACAAGAAAATCATGTTGGATCATTCGATGAATAGCTTTCTTGACAAGGAAATTCGCGCACTTGTTTGCCCCACGTTAGATAGGTTAGATATCACACTCCCAATTACACGCTAGATAGGTTAGATATCACACTCCCAATTACGGGCCAGTACCTCCCTAATTTCTTGACAAACATTGAAGGGGGGATGAACCTTGGCAGACTTTAATACAGATAGGATGTATTTGATTGGACGGACGGGATGGAGGATTAGAATTCATTGAACTTGAATTTTGAAACTGTGAATCTTCCGAATTATTTGATTAGATTGGATGTGTATCTGTTTGTTTTCTCATGAAATTAGATGTTTGGAAATGATTATGTTTTAGTCAATTCAATGTTTGGTTAGACGGACTGGATAAGATAAATGAGTAAAAAATTATTTTACTTTTTCAATTGTTTACTAAGTAGTAGTAATATTAAACATATATTTAATATTTTAATTATCTTTAGTTAGATTAAATAAAATTTTATTTTATTTTATTTTTAACACAATAAAATAAAATAAAATAAATTTATTTTTAAATAAATAAATAAATAAAATATCAATAAAAATATATGTTATTTTTTAATTAAAATTTTAAATAAATTTATTTTTAAAAATAATAATAATTAAATATTGAAATTAAATAAAACATCTATTAAAATTTAAATAATGAATAATAAAATATAAACAAAATTTTAAAATAAAACATCAATAAAATATCTATAAAAAATTATTTTAAAAAATAAATAAATAAAACATCAATAAAAAGTTAAATAAAATTATTTTATTTTTAAATTAAGACATTTAAATTTTATTGAATTTTACTAAATATAATACATAATTAAATAATAGATGGTCAAAATGATCATTTCACCACCTAATCCCATTAATAAATAGTCCGATGAAAATTGTCTCACAATCCCCAAATAATATAAATCCACATATGGGGGTCAAGAAATCCGGCTGGACTCTATGTCCGACGGATTAAAAAAAAAACAGATGCTGAATAAAAAACTTTTTTGAATTACAATCCTAACAGTAAACAGTCCTCCCTTAATTCGGCGAATCAAACGCACCCATAGAGTTTCAACGTAGTCAGATTCAACAATCACCTTGCCATCAGCCAAACCAATTGCAATCCAAGCCAAACAGATAGCCCATAACTCCGCTGCAATAACAAGGACTGATCCGATGTGATGCCAAAAACCATCAATCCAGTTTCCTGGATTTGACCGAATGATCTCATCTGCACCTGCTGAGCCTTGCGCTTCCAAAATAGAGCCATCAACATTGACGTTAATCCAGTGAGGAGGGAGAGAGACCAAGGAATATGCATTACGTCACGGCCACCCTTGAAGGTGTGGTTCAAACTTTTTCAACTCAATGACCTGCCCCTTGATGATATCAACAGGATGAGGAGGCATACAGAAACTTGGAACATATAACCGTTTGTTATGCTAAAACCAAAGTGATGAAAGGGAAGCCAAAAAAATCAAAGGCGAGTTATATTATAGGATGTAGACCAAGGCAGAAAGGCGATATTAAAATCAACTCACTTATGCTGTGTTTGGTTGGAGTTTTTGAGGTGGGATCTGGAAAAGGAATGAGAAATAGGACATCAATTCTATTTTATAACCAACACAACCAAACATAGTTGGGATTTGAAATTCTATTAATTCTTTCTCCTTTTCCTTTCATTTCCATTTCCTTTTTCATTTCCCTTCTCAAATCTCCCAACCAAACACAGCGTTAAGCAAAGGAAGTGTCAGGAATTGGAGCCAGCAAGAGGGAGGAATAAGCTCTTCCCACACTTTTCTTGACATTTTACAATCCCGCAAGGCATGGAGTAGAGTCTCACTACAATTCAATACTCACAAAAAAAACAGGTTGAATCAGAACTCAAACATCTGTGTAATCAAAAGGCATTGGTCAGCAAAGCAAAGTGTTTCCATCGTCCGATCATATCTACTTCACTCGATTATATTTATTCCAACTCGATCACCCACGTGGGGTTATGGACAGTCTCTCTCATTTTCTTTTCTTTTCTTTTTTTCCTTTGGTGATGCCTCTCTTCTCTTCTCAAGCTAGAGAAGAGGCTTTCCTAGAAGAAGCAAACTTCAGGTATATTTCTTGGGAGTTGTGCTCCTACAATGAAATGTTAATTTCAAGATCCCTACCCATCACCCATTAAAAGCCAAGATTTGTTCATAATATGTTCATAATAATAATTTTAAATATACATCATAAATTTAAACTGTTTAGATCATTTTTTAGTTTAAAATCTGAGTTATTCATTCACATATTTGATTATGAGAAAAAAAATATATTATGATTTTTTTTTTCATTTTCATAAAAAGATTAAAAAATAATTATTTCATTATTTTATTTTATTTTATTTCATTGAGTCTTACGCTACATTTGGAATGAACAAGTTTGGTAATTAATTAAATACTTAAAAAAGAATAATTTATTCTCAACAGTTTTTTAACGTATTTTTGTAAAAAATTTAAAAATTAATTCCCAAACAAACATCATAATTCAAGAAATCCAAATATGAAGAAAAATGATGATATATCCAAGGAAAATTGAGAGTTATAAACCACCACAAGGAATCTCTAATATCACAACAAGCAAAATCAATAATAATTGATTCTCTATTTGTTAGAAGAAGAAGAAGAAGAAGAAGAAGAATGTGGAGTTGGGTTGTGATGCTTATCCTCAGCTATATGTTCTTCAACCATTTCTTTAACAGACCTAGCTGACAATGGATGAAAATTCACACCCCACTCTGAAACAAACCCTTTAACCAAAACCCACTTGTCCTCTTCACCACCACCACCATCTTCTTCATCATCATCCATTTTCTTCCATTTCTTCTTCAGTTCCTCTGGTTTCAACCCCAAGTACTCACAGAGCTCTGTGAACAACAGTTGTCTGCTCTTCTTCATCGCCTCTTCTCTCTGCAACTGATGGCTATCCATCTTCTCTACCTCGGCGGCTAAATCTGATACGAGCTCTGAATCGTTGACGCTTTTGGTGCAGGAGATTTGGGGTTTGTTGGATGTGTTGATGGTGAGATGGGTTATGGAGGGGAAGGGGGACTGGGTGTGGAATTTTGTTAGGTGTGAGAAGATTTTGGGATGGAGGAGGTGAAACCCTAGAGCCATTTTGAGGGTTTGGTTGTGGGTTTTGGGGAAATTGAGGTTTTGATGTGGTTGGAATGTTTAGATTGAGAGCGAACATGAAGTGATGAAACAGTAGGAGTCATCTAGGGTTTCATGGTTGTTCTCTTTTTTGCCCATAACCAACTTATGTGGGGAATAAAAGAACAAAGAAAAAAGAATAAAGAATAAAATTTACATTGATGAAAAAGCTTATGAAGTTTTCCTTTATCATAATATGAACTAAAGTAATATTTTGAAGAAAAAAATAATATAAGAAAAAAATTTTGAGCATAACGATGAGGTACACTGATCAATAAATAACTACAAATGAAATCAGATAAATAATTTGTCTCTTATCATCACACGTTCATGTAATTTTTATTAAATTGTTAAACAACAAGACATAACCCACCTAGCGAATTTTAAAATTTAAAACATACATAAACAATGATCAACGGTGGAGGTATCATTCTCAACCTAAGTTTATTTTGGTTTTTAATTTTATAAGGTTTGTAAAATAAATTATTTACACTCCTATAAAAAAAATTAAATTATACAATCACTAATCATATCTGATCGAACTATCTCTCCAATTAATTACCAACGAGGTTTAGTCATATCCAATCAAACTATCTCTCCAATTAATTGCCAATGAGGTTTAGTCATATCCAATCAAACTATCTCTCCAATTAATTACCAACGAGGTTTAGTCATATCCAATTAAACTATCTCTCCAATTAATTGCCAACGACGTAGAAGAGGTGGCTAGAATATTACGAAACAGGCTCAAAATCATTATAACTGAGAGGGTAATTTGTAAACAAATTGGGCCGAGCTAGGAAAAGTCTTCTTTGGAAATTGGGTCGCGCAATAGGCCGAGATAAGGGCTGGTGTAACTCGGTCTTACGCCAAAAAGACATCTCATATTTCGGATTTGAGCCGAACTATGGGCTTCAAGTAGCTCGGTCCCATGTTGAATGAACTCCAAGCTGGGCAGAGATACTTTGGACCGAGCTACCTAAACAAGTGGGCCTAGTGGTTAGCTGAGGTGTTGGTAAGAAAGGAGGCTGGGCTTGGTATAGCTCGGTCGAATGCCAGCTACTTCATTACTTAATTGAGTATATGACCGAGGTAATCTAGCTCGGTTAGGTTGCATCAACTTAAATAAAGGAGGTAACCATCTTACTTGATTGGTGGAAAGCAGAGTGTTATTATGATAAACATTCTTCATTGAGCTTGAGACTCGTAGGAGGACTCTGTTAAGCAGAATAGAGACCTATTAGGATTGTGTAAATCATCTCACTTGGTTAGTAGTGAATAGGGTGTGTGATTCTTAGAAGGATTCTTATAAGGAGAGTTGGAATCCTACTAGGATTGTGCCAGGCAGAATCTATAAAAACTCATGACAGCACCTATAGACAGGTATCACAATTTTGACTCTCAAATATACAGACCTTATTGTCTATTGTCTAGTTGCTGACAGCACCTTATTGTCTATGTGTTTTCAGAGAGTAAAGCGACGACGTTTGGAGGAACTCAATCTTGGTCAACATGATTATACGAGAAGATTATTTTGTGCTCATACAATAACTAATTAGACATGGCGTAGGGGCATTTGCAATCCAATCTTTCCCACCAGAAATGATCAATGAAAATTGTAGCTAGAATGTTATGAAACCCAAAAGGAAAAAGATGCAACAATTTCTTTAAAAAAATAATAATAACAATTTAATGATTGTTTTCCACAGTTCAACCCTCCATGTCATTTCTGTATCAACTAACCTGCCAGCCACCCAACTTTTTATACATCCTTAGAGAGAGAGAGAGAGAGAGAGGGGGGGGGTTGGGCATGAAAGAACAAAGATAATTACTACGGTGATCACCAAATTTTCACTAAATCAAACTCCCAACGCAACCAAAAGAAAGTGGTATTCAAATCTTTAGACAAACTTGACTGTGCTCATACAGCGCACGAACCAAGTCCTCACTTCTTGCTCTACTATGTCCATCGGCAAAATCTGCTCAAGCTTTTCCATTTCCATTTCCAGTTCTGCACAAATTCATGAAAGGGTATTCTCAAATCAAATTTTGTTTTTGAAGTCATTACCCTGTTTACATGCTACGATGAATCAGTTGTGACAGGATATCAACCCACGTGTCTGGAACACCGGGTAGGCACCAGTGCATGCAGTCCTGACCCCAGATTGCCACTGCATCCTGCTTTCCCAACCAAATGGCTGGATGGGCATCAGCTCTGAACTCACTCAAACGAGTCAGATCAAGTAACTGAATATCAGTGGCCCGTAAAGCATCTTCAATTAGACGGTTCAGTTGTCTTGCTTCTTTGTTCACTCCATTGTTGCTCGGATCAAACCACAAGTCAAGCTGTCCAGTTATCAAAGTTAAATTCCTTTTTTTTTTTTTAAAAAGAAAACAAAGACAAGGACCTGTAATTTATTGACAAAGAAATTGGCGAGGCACAGAGAAGCAATTATCAGTTCATACCTGTAGTTTCTCAAAGGGCTCATTGAACAAGCAACTACCATTTTGATTCCAGTCGCCACCATAAAAATGTCTTGGTGATTGCAATCGCCAGAACTTGAGCGTCTTTCTTGGGAATTCTTTTTGTATGTGAGAAACCATACTCTCAAGGACAACTCTAAGTCCATCCAGCATCTGCAGGGGCGGAACTATTGGTTGCCCAGCCTTATAGAAAACAAGAGGTGTCTCTTTTGGGAACTTATCATAGCCCCACCTAGGAAAAAAAAAAAAGCAAGTAAATTGTTAATTCATAATATGTGAAACTATTATTATTATTAGGGTTAAATACAATGCCGGTCCCCAAACTATGTGCTCTGTTACATTTTGGTCCCCAATATTTCAATTGTGTTATCCAATTATATGATCCCCAGTGACATTTCCGTCCAAATCCAAGACATAGTGCACAAAGAGATTGAGGACTGGGTATTTTTGTCCAAATTTGGATGGAAATTTTTCCATCCTACCCATTTTTCTCCTCTCACTACCACACCTATGCGTGTGTGCGCGCACGCGCGCATGCACCAAGGAAAAAGGACAGACGGGGTTGAACTAGGAAAAGAGATTCCTTTGTGCTTCCTGTCAAGTCTAGTATTCATGCCCAAACAGGTACAAGACATCTAATCCAAATAGACAAGCCCGTAGTTTCCAACAATGAAATATAAGTCAACTTCTAGTCCCAATCCCACAGCACCATATGCAGTCCAGAAATGAGCCCCTTTTTATGTCATTGAGATAATGGCCTTGTTTGGCAAAGGCTATTTTTTCTTTTTTGGACAAAAATTCACAAAAAGACAAAATAGGCTAAAATAATCAATAAAACAAAATGTCCCATCGAACCCATAATCATTTCACTTTTTCTCTCACAAACATAACATCCAACTACAAAAAAATCCAGCCATCTTCTCAAACACAAATATTTTAACCCACTAAAATAGCCAACTTTCCAGACGAGATGAATGATAGATTTCAAATTTTATATATTTCGTCTTTGGCAACATTAGTTCTACTTTTTGTTAATTAGTAAAAAGGGAACACAGAATTACCAATGGCCAGTATTAAAAATAAGGGCATCGTAGAAGTTGGTGATGTCAGCCCAGGCATCTGCCGGAATATCAACATCTACTCGATATATTCCCTTCAAACCATCATCATTAGAGACTGCCGACCGTTTTGGTTGCCACCTTATTAGATCAGTCATGAGCATGTGAGGCTGCTACTTTGAAAATGAGATGAATATATCAAATGATATTTTGAAGCATAGGTTATTAAACACTCAATTAACAAGGAAAAGCGTACTTAAAAGCAAAACAAGTATTCCAACTTATTTTTTTATATCTGATCCAAATCATCTAGGTAAACACATGTATTGATTTGTTGGATTAGTTTCATGCATTGAAACAATATGAACAACACAAACCAAACCAAACTAAACCAAGTCAAATAAAACCAAGCTCCTTTTTAACTTTTTCTCAAAACAAACAGAACTTATTACTAGCTGACGTATACTACTCACAAAATCACCATAAAACAAAGATGACTAAGAATGGGAAAAAAGTTGCATCAACACTGTCAAGTTTTATAGATAAATTAGTGCATATAACTCAAAACCAGTTAGTCAAGTTTGCCCCAACATTCACCCAATTCTGTAATATGAAATGAAGTAGCAATGCACTTGCTATTTCAACAATTGTGAAACCCCACTTAAAGCACAAAAACATTCTAGGCCTTTTGATAAGGTGAGAAATGTGCGAGAAAGTATTAGTGGTAAGAAAGTGATGCAAACGAGTGAAAAGTGTAAAGGAATTTATTTTTTTTATTTTTTTGGGTAAGCATTTGGTTAAAATGAATTTTTGTGAAAATGTTGTAACTTGTAAGTAATTCAGAAGTTAAATATCAACTTACTACTAAAAAAAACACTTGTGACAGAAATGTAACCTTCTTGCACTTTCCAGCATTCTCATTCTAAGCAATTGCACAAAAGGTTCCATTTTATTCTCTATCCTGCACTTTTCACCACTCTCATGCAAAACAATTGCACAAAAAATTCCATTTTTTTTCCCTCTTTCCCGCACTATCTATTTTTTTCATGCTAACCAAACTCACCCTTACACAAATTTCATCGTAGCACATCAGATAAAGAAACACTGCATCAAGCATACACCATAAATCAAGCTAAGGCATACACGCACATATAGTATCAAACAACATTCAAAGATAAAAATCCCAACATTCTTACTCATGTTTGGCAAGCAACACAGCTCGATGATAAGCCACAGTAACATTGAATTGGGGAAAGTAAGCACCCCTCCAAGCCCCTTTTCTCTTCCACTTCTTCGCACCCAAATCAGCAACCCTAAGAACACAAAGGAAAGAAACCAAGAAATTCTCATTCAACGAATCCCCAACAAACCCAATTCTCTTATTCCTCATCAAACCCAGAAACCTTAATGGATCGATCCGTGGCAATTCGCACTGTTCAGGGACCCATTTCCACGAATTGATCCGACCCATGTTCTCTCTCTTGTTCCTCAAGCAGTTCCAAGCGTTTCTGTGGAATGGGCAGGTGTCATCGTAAATGGGTTTTCGATTGGGGTCTATTACCCAATTGCCATTGAAGAGATCGCATGTGGGTGGTGAAGATTGGGGTTTGGTTGAAGAAAGTGGGTAGAGAGGGAGGAGGGTAGAGTAGAGGAAGATGAGAAGGAATGTTGGGAAGATGAGCCATGTGAAGAGTGTTTGGGATAGTTTAGAAGCCATTGTTAATCATTGCTTGTCATGAGGAAGATACACATATACAAGTGTATGAGAGAGAGTATACCAGTGAGAGAGAGAGAGAAAGAGATCTGCAACGGTGAAACTGCAGAGACATCTGGTTTGCCTGAGCCGAGGGATCCGGATCGAGGTCTATTTCGGGCTGTTAAAAAAAACAAAAAAAATGAATTTTTACTTTAAAAATAAAAAAAATAAAATAAAAAAATGAACGTGGTTTAATAAGGGTATGTTTGGTAACGTTTTTAATTTATATTTATAAAAATTTTATAAACTAGTTTTTGTTTATTTTTAGAAAAACATAAACTACAAACGCGTTTGGTTTAGACAAAATGTTTAAAAAAATTTAAAAATATAAAAAAAAGTGAGAAATGACAAGTGGTGACGAGTGGTGGCGGCGGAAGACGGTAGTGGAAAATGATGGTGGGTGGTAGTGGCGGAAGACGGTGGTGGAAAATAGTGGTGGATGGTGGCTAGGAGAAGACGGTGGTAGAAAGTGGTGGCAAGTGGCAGGTGGGATGGGGTGTGAGTGGTGGTGGGAGGAAGTCCGGTGGTGGAAAGTGGTGCAAGTGGCGGGTAGTGGCGGCGGAAGATGAATGGTGGACAGAAAGCAATGACAGGTGGTGGATTGGTGGGTGGTGGATGGCGGGTGTTGGTGTAGTAGCGGGATGGTGGTAATAGGTAGTGGTGGGTGACGTAGCGGGAGTGGGTGAATTGCCGGGTGGGGTGGATGGTGGTGCGGTTGGGTGGGTGACAGGTAGCTGGTGGGTGGTGGTTGGATAGATGGTGGTGGCAGGTGGGTGGTGGCGAGCGGATAATGGCAGTGGAACTGGTCGTGTGGAGGTGGCGGGTGGGTGGGTGGTATGGCTAGGTGGGTGTGATGGTGGTGGGGATGGATGGATGGCAGTGGCGGGTGGTAGGGTGAGGTGGTGGTGGTGGTGGCAGTGGCCGGATGGTGGGTAAAGTGGTGGTGGGTGGTAGATGGCAGTGTAGTGGCAAGGTGGTGGTAGGGGGATGGGTGGTGGTGGCGGAAGACGGTGGTGGAAAATGGTGGCGGGTGGTGCTAATGTTTGGGTGTAAAAAAAAAAACTCAAACTGTAAAAAGGAAACAACATTTTTTGGCCAAATTTATAACTTGAGACCACTGATTATAATAAAAAATTTACCAAAAACAAATTTTTATTTTGATATTTTTAAAATTTTTGTAATATAAACTGAAAAATGAAATGTAAGGTGCCGTTTGGTACAATTACGTTCAATTTTCTGTTTTAATATTTAAAAAATTTAAAAAACTCATATAAAATACTTTGTTTGGTAAAATTTTTGATTATAAATCAGTGGGTCAGTTTTATAAATTTGGCCAAAAAAAATGAAAACACAAAAAAATGTGTTATACATTTTTGAGTTTTTAGTTTTTTTTTTTTTTTACCACCCAACGTAGTCCACCATCTGCCACCGATTTTCCACCACCATCTTCCGTCCACCACCCACCCCCTCACCACACCACCACCTGCCACCACCATCACTCACCACGCATCGTGCCACCACCACTCATGACCTCGCCACCCCATCCTGCCATCACACCCCACCACCACGCACCACCTGCCACTACCATCCACTCGGCCGCACCACCACCCGCCACCCTACTGTGCCACCAACCACTCACGCACCCACGCTGCCACCACCATTCCACTTGCCACCACTAGCCATCCACCACTCACACACCCACCTGCCACCCAACACATCACCACCTGCCACCACTACCACCCAATCCTACCACACAGCACCTTGCCACCCACCCCGCCACCTTCCTACTCTCACCGCCCACCACTCACCCCACCACCCACTCGCTTATATACCTACTTACTCACCCGTCATCGTTCTATCACCACCCATCCACCCACCACGCACCACTATACCGGACTACCCGCCATCCGCCACCCACCAGCCACCACCACTCGCTAAACCGAACCCACCACCAGCCACCATCAACCCACGCTCACCCATCGTCACCACCCACCAACCACCGCCATCCGCCACCACCTGCCACCGCGACCACCTACTACACCCGCCGCGCCAACCCGTCGCCACCCACACCACCACCCACTCACTACAAACCCGCCACCCTCACCCCACCTACTCACCACACCACCACACACGCTCTACCTACCGCTACCACCGCCCCCCCGCGCATCCGCCATTCGCACACTGCCCACCCACACCACCACCACCCACTCGCTACCACCACCACCCACGCAGTTACCCACCCACCCACCGTCACCACTTTCCACCACCGTCTTCCGCCGTCACTTGCCATTTCTCACGATTTTTTATATTTTTAATTTTTTTTAAACATTTTGTCAATTACCAAATGCGTTTGTAGTTTATGTTTTTCTAAAAATAAACAAAAAATAAACAAAAACCAGTTTATAAAATTTTTGTAAATATAAACTGAAAACGTAAACGTTACCAAACGGCACGACACCTAAGTATTTGGTGCCTCTATTTACGCATCACATTTAGGTTTCGTTTGGGAAGTGGATTGACTTTTTAACTTTTTGATTTTTTTGACTATTTTAACCTAGGGCTAAAAAGCCTGGTTTGGAAAGAGTTTTTGACTTTTTTTATTTTTTTGTGAGAAAAAAAAATATAATGATTATGAGTTGGATGTGATATTTTGTCTTATTGGGCTAAAAAGCCTATTTTGTTTTTTGTGACTATTTTAGCCAAAAAAACTATAAAACCTTCTTCCCAAACATAGGCTTAGTCTCAAGACATACTATTAATTGGTTATTTTTTATTACAATAATAACTTTACATAAAATGACCATAAAAGAATGTCAATACACCCCCCCCACACACCACCACTCTTCACTCCCTGATTTTACCTCCGGCTACAGTCACCAAAACCCGGCCACCATCGCAACCCCCACAACCTCCCTACCTCGTTGACGACCCATTTCCCCTATGCAAATCCTTCTCCCTGTTGATTGAAATTCGACTTTCCAAATTCAAGATCAACTCTCCTTGACCCTATGTGTTGTCAAGAACAAAATCTTTGATCTCGCGACTTGATTTTCTTACTTCGCGACTTGATGCCTTTAGATTTTGCGACTTGATTTCTCCACTATTTTGAAGTTTCCAGTTCGTAAACTCTCAAGAACCCTAGTCAGCAGTTCGTGATTTGGTCCACTGTGGTGCTGCATCTTTAGGAAACTGGTGTTCGAGTTTGGCATTACATTGACAATTTCGCAACTTGATTATGAACCGTTTTCGCGATTGGCTTCAAATTTTCTCTGCTTCTTTTTGGGTTCGCAGCTACTGGTTTTGTATCGAAACCCTAGATCGAACACATCGTGAACTAAAGAAGTATCACAAGTCACAATTTCAGAATTATTATTACATTGCAACTTGTGAATGAAAGAGCCACCTGGAATTAGAGTTTGGAGTTATTGGTCACGGTGCGATTGCCGAAACTTATTTGGATTCGTTGTGGGCTTGAGTTTGGCTTTCGACTTGTTCTTGTATTCTGGGTTGACCGAGGCAATATTTGGGGATGGAAAAGGATTTTAGAGTGTGGTTGGAAGTGGTAAGGCAAGGAGAGTGATGGATGGAGGAGTGAGGAAAATATTCGTCGGAGAATAAGGAGGGAGAGGCGACAGCCTGCGGCGAGTGGCGGTGGCTAAGGTTAGGGTTAGGGTTGGTGGGGTGGTTAAAAAAGATGAGGATATTTTAGGTATATTTGAAAATGGATGGTGTGCATTGAGTAAAAATAATAAAGTTAAAATTGTGTTTGGTGTGCATTAAGTAAGTGACGTGCCTTGAGACCAAATGTAGTGTGTAAATAAAGGTACCCCTCGTTTCCAGATATGGTTTTCAGCGTGGTGAGCTGAGTTAAATTTGGTGATTCTAATTTTTTTTTTAATAATAAATAGTTGAGTAAAATATTGGAGATTTTTTTTTAGGGTCCTGGTATTAAGATTTTACAACATAAAGAATATTCAATATTTTCATAATGTCTAAGGTCCATTAACATCGATCCAGAGAAATTTCAATCCCAGAGAAATTCTTTCTGGACTTTCCAAAGAATTTCTCTGGGTTCAGACTAGAGAAAATTGTGTAGAAAAAATTTGTATGGCTTTGTGTGGCTCTATCCAGAGAAAATTGTATAGAGAAAATTTGTGTAGAATGTGGCTCTATCCAGAGAAAATTGTGTTAAAGAAAATTTGCATAGCTTTGCGTGGCTCTATCTAGAGAAAATTGTGTAGAGAAAATTTGTGTGGCTTTGTGTGACTCTATCCAGAGAAAATTGAACATCATTTTTATTCTGATCAATTTTTTCTAGATTGTAAGACATTTAGACAACAACAAACCAGAGAAAATTGAACAACTATCATTTTCATTTTGACCAATTTTCTCTGGACTGTACGATAACAACAAACTAGAGAAAATTGATAAAATTTTGGGAGCTCTACAATTTTTGGTCTTAAAAATGGTGAAATAGCGGATAAATAGCATTTGATTCCCTTTAAACGCAGTCTTATTGTTGTATAAAAATCCATTACCAAACCAAACTCACTCTTGACAATCCCTCATTTATCTATTCAGATCCTCTTCTATATCTTATACACACAAACACACACACACACACACATACCTACATATAGGCAAAGACTAGTCGAATGCAGATAAGAAGAAGCGCCTTGTTGGTTTTGTCATTGTTGCTCTTAATCTGGTCTTGTTCTTTGATCACAGCAACTATAGTGAACACTTCTAATCCGCAACCACAACCATCATTAGAGACTTCTGTTTACATTGTCTACACTGAGAAGCCCCTCCATGATCATGATCAAGACCTCGAACCCTCTCCACTGTCCTTGGCAGGTTGCGTTCTGTGTGTGTGTGTGTCAATTAGTACTATTACGGTTCTCTTTCTCGCACGTCTTCTCTCTCTTTGTTAAAGATTGAGTGTCATGGTTAGGAGAGTCAAATTTCTCTGTGACATATGAGTGTGGGGTTGATGGATCTTAGACATCGTAAAATAATATTGTGAATCTCTTACATTATTAAAAATGGGAGATGTATCTTATATTAATTTTCCCTAAAATATTTATATAAAATTTTATGATGATTGA